AAATCACGGATTTATATGCAAGTGTATATAAACTACACACTAGTGACCATAAAAACTGTCTCAAATCACAAATTTATATGCAAGTGTATATTCAGACTAATTAAATCTTATGAATGTGATACTAAAGAAAGGGGGAGGGGGGTAAGATAACATAATGTAGTTCGTAATCGCATAGCGTAGCAAGGTGTGGTTTATCTAGTAATTTCTAAAGTGGCTGGTCGTGGTTCGACTCCCATGATATTGATAATATTTTGATATCACGTAAACGACCTTTTGGAAGTGCATCGTTTTTGTGCCTATAACACATGGCTTTATTGTGAGTTCCTAATTCTTAGTTCTTGTTTCTAATAGCTTAGTTCTAATTTCATCATTAATAGCGGAAACGTCTTCCATATATACCTCCCATGAGATATAGATTATGACGTGGTTAATTCTAAAATTCATTATTCAAAGAAGTGACATTTATTTTGTTGCAGACATTGAAAGGCCTAAATTTAGTAATTGTCCAAAAAGTAAAACCATATATGTTAACAAAAATGAAAAAACCGCAGTTCTAACATGGGATGAATTAGAGGCAACAGATAACTCCGGTACTGTATCTGTACAACAAGTATCAGGTACTCTGAATGGAACAAGAGTATTAAGCGGAACTTACCCCGTTTCTTTTACTGCCACAGATGCAGCAGGACTGGAAGATAATTGTCATTTTAAAATAATCGTAGAAGGTGAGTTGTGTTGATGTAAATATGTATTATGATTTATTCTATCCAAACATTGCTGGGGTTGGGTATTGCCTTAAGTTGACTACACTGATATCCTGAAACCAGACTGTATAATGAAATCACTATTATTTACGTCTTCTCGGTGTGTAAGCGAGAGGGGGTAAGCTGTGCCACTGGTTTCTCTACGTAGTTTAAGAAGTTGTTCATCATTAACAAGCATTATCCAAAGTGTAGGGTTCCAAATATTTCTGGTCAAATGGCACAATTTACCCCTAGGGTGGGGTAAGTTAGTTGTTCCCCCATATTATGGGGTAAGTTGAACCAAGTCATTGTAATCAAAAAATATTTATAAATTTCACAAAAATACAAATGTTTATTCATTGGTCATAGGAGATTGCAGTGATATTTTGCATGACTAGGCTATCTAATCTGCAACACTGGATTGTCGTTATAACCAGAGTATTGAAAATATGAACGCATTCTACAAAACTACTGTGTAGAATAGAACTCATGTTCATGTATTCTAAGTTTTATATATCAAACGGCTGATATGGATATCAGCATGTCGACATTTAAACAAAAGCATAGTGACCATACAGTAGTAACTATTTAGACTATTTAATAAATGGCACCACCATTCGTGTGTCTTTACTCATACAGGCTGAAGAGGGGTGGCTCAACTTACGCCATTCTCCCCTATATACCATCGGCATTATTATCAAACTCGATCCAATATGCCACTGAATCAAATCAAATGCGTAGGTTGGATCTTAGGTTGTGTCCTGTCAAGTAAAATCTTTCTTACCTTTATATGGCTGCCGATAAGTACCGTTTGGCTTCAAATTCTTGCCTTCGGGTCTACCAAGGCAACAAATCTCGGTCCCTTCGCTGTGAGGTTCGTCGCGAAGGCAAGAAGTAAACAGTGGGGAGCCAAAAAGTAGAGTCACTGCTTAGCGTCGCCTTTTTCACTTTCTGCATTCTTGCCTTTGCGCAAGCGACGAGGCGGGCTTGCTGAATAATTGCATAATAGTCCGCCTGTAGCTGTCATGATTCAACTTTTGGCTGCTCTAGGACTGCGCATGGTAGACGTAAACCAGAAGGCGGAGTGAATCACGTCTTCGCGGATACGATTCGCTTTGAGTTAATAGCGCTTACGACTGGCCACCATATCCATTCACTTTTATACCCCAATTCATTTCATATCACTTTTTATTTAGTACTCTATTGTCTACCTCCCGATCTGAATGACACTCTGATGACGTACAGCTGTAAAGGCCACCAATATGGTAACAAGTGTGATCTATCCTGTAAGCTTGATCAACCGTTGGTTGGAGACGAATCAATAACATGTGACAAGGATCGCAGCCTCAATGCTAAAGCATTTTGGAATTATGACCAGCGCCCATATTGCAAAGGTACAACTGATTCCATACCGTTTAACTCCTCACGTCAATTGTCTGAAGTTTATCTCGTGGTCTTTATAGGCGCCTGATTTTCATATTTTACTTCTACTCCAAAAGTAGTCTAGTTTTTAAACGCAAACTGGTTGACATACAATGGACAGTTTTCCTTTTTGAAAATGGTATAAATCCTCCAATATGAATAGACTGGCAAAAAAAGGGTAACTTTTTTCCAATCATAGCCCGAAATCCGAAATACGAACACTACCAGTAAACCTTGTTAATGCTACAATTTGTAATAGATCTTTTTTTCAAATTGGCGTAAAAAATTGGGATCACGAGAGGGTGAACATAACCACATTCAGCATTCCGTAGCAACCTGATCAAGATTATCCAGACATTTATGAATTTATGCTGAGATTTACATGTATTGCCATATGACCTGTTAGAACCTTTGTGGAATTTCATCAAAAACAATACATGGCCATACGCTCTAACTTTCTATTCTTGTTATTTTGGCGAAACATTTGCGGTTTAGAAGATAGTTCTTGGTGACAAAAATTGAACATGGCATTTGCGCCATTTAAAATTATATTCTTTTATTGTTTCTTGCACACATATTTAATCACTAGAAAGCATGTGGGGCGTCTTCTTCAGCAGCTAAGGGACATAACCGCACTGTACTAACAAATGTATCATAAATGTTTATCTCCTTGTATAAATGAAATAAATATACATTTTATGTGCTACTATTTCAGTTACGGCGTGTTCTGATTTCTTGCCACCTTTAAATGGAGCTTCTGCCTGTGATAAATGGGTAGGAGGAGCAATATGTTCTATTCTTTGTAATGAAAAATACGATGTTCCCAGAGGTCTTAGCAATTCCAAGAATACCTTTGTGTGTAGTTACTTCACCGGTATATGGAATCCATCACTTGTTCCAGATTGCACAAGTAAGTTATATTTTGCCAATCTGAATGGTCATAGTTTTAGTCCTCGTAAACAGATATCTAATAATACCAAAACGACATTTACTAAGCAGCCTGAAATCCGACCGGTCGATTATTTAAATAGAATATAATTCTTTATAAAGAATTAAAACAATAACCCAATTAAAAGATTGCAAGAATAAATTGTTGATACGTTTCAGGAATAAAATAATAATTTAAATTGTCGTTATATATGGAACCCATCACTTGTTCCAGATTGCACAAATAAGTTATTTTTTGCCAATCTGAATGGTCATAGTTTTAGTCCTGGTAAACAGATATCTAATAATACCAAAACGACATTTACTAAGCAGTCTGAAATCCGACCGGTCGATTATTTAAATAGAATATAATTCTTTATAAAGAATTAAAACAATAACCCAATTAAAAGATTGCAAGAATAAATTGTTGATACGTTTCAGGAATAAAATAATAATTTAAATTGTCGTTATATATGGAACCCATCACTTGTTCCAGATTGCACAAATAAGTTATTTTTTGCCAATCTGAATGGTCATAGTTTTAGTCCTGGTAAACAGATATCTAATAATACCAAAACGACATTTACTAAGCAGTCTGAAATCCGACCGGTCGATTATTTAAATAGAATATAATTCTTTATAAAGAATTAAAACAATAACCCAATTAAAAGATTGCAAGAATAAATTGTTGATACGTTTCAGGAATAAAATAATAATTTAAATTGTCGTTATATATGGAACCCATCACTTGTTCCAGATTGCACAAATAAGTTATTTTTTGCCAATCTGAATGGTCATAGTTTTAGTCCTGGTAAACAGATATCTAATAATACCAAAACGACATTTTCTAAGCAGCCTGAAATCCGACCGGTCGATTATTTAAATAGAATATAATACTTTATGAAGAATTAAAACAATAACCCAATTAAAAGATTGCAAGAATAAATTATTGATACGTTTCAGGAATAAAATAATAGTTTAAATTGTCGTTATATATATATCTGATGAAGATATAGATGTTGGTTGAAAAAATGACTGTTCTTGTATTTATATTTTTATTTTTGTGCCAAACGTATGATCAGTAATGTATTGACATCTTTTGATATAATAACATTTTATATAAACAATTATTTTTTACATTGATTTGTGGATATAAAGTATATGTTGCTATCTCTTATATGTTTTAGAAAAGCGACAGTCCTCTGGAATTAAGTTACCAGGAGAGGTATATTTATATTATAGCGGAAACTGTGAAGACGTAAAAGACGAAATTAGACAGAAGTTTATCGACAAACTAAAATATATGGATTCAGGGATGTACAGTGCGTTTTGTGATCCATATGACGAGTGCAAAGTTGAAAATGTGGTGGTAAAGTGTGGTAAAAAAGAACGAAAAAGGGTAATTTTTGTTAGGTATAATTCTCTGGAACTAAGTGGATAAAGTGAGTATTATTCTAAGAAATGAAAGAATACCAGTTTTCGTATTATTGGCTACAGGTTTCCAAACTCACACCTTCAGCATAGTCTGGGTAACGATATCTTGTCTTAAGATCATTTTGAAACCCGCATAAGGTTTAGTAACGAATGCAATCCTAGGGAGCAGAATTCTGTGTGGAGAGTGGGGTCCCTTCCTACCCTTCGTTGATTTCCAACTACCAAGGGTTCAATTATGTGCACGCCAATGCCCACACTGAACTTTTCATACCATCCGATTATGATTCTTTTATTCTGTATATTGTTAAAAGGCTTCAAATAGATCGTTTAGTTACATTATTTTTTTTCTTTTAGTCTTTGGGCCGTCGGGATACTGAAAACCAGTTGTTCGTATCTTGGGATTTTACTTCAAAATTCACATTGATCAATGATACATTTGAAGCATCACGTACATTTTATGAAAGTAAGCTTGACTTAAAGAGGAAATAAATCAGGGTGAATTTGATCAAATGATTCCTGGATTACAAACAGTCAACGACTCCTTTAATATCGGATACATGGATTTTATATGTGGAGAGGGCTTGAAACCCAACTATGATACTGGAACATGTCGTAAGTTTAGTTTTAATTTGTATGTTGAATTAATATAACAGAATCCCATGATAAAAATATCTATTTAAGCTTTTGTGCGCGATTTGCATTTTTGGGAATAAATCAAACTTTACAAGGTTTAATCCTAAAATTGATTATTTCAAACGAAAATTTGTTTAAAATAATATATGAACGGTAGATAATCTCCTGTCTTGGATTCAGTTAGAAATAGGTGCATCAAAAATGCTGGCTTGTTTAAAAGGGGTTTATTCGAAACGGCCTTGGTCAATACGGACATATTAACAGTTAATAAATATAGACTGATCCTAGCAACCCCGAGAAAATCAAATCGGTCGATTAAATATTTAATAAGAATCCTTTGTAAAGACTTGAAGAAAATGAATCATATTTAGACTCGCATTCCTTGTATAGATTCAACTTCCACAATACCGCAGTGTAGTTTGCAAGGGATACATTCCCAAATGCCGATGTTCATAGAATTGAATCTTAATTCACAAAGGAAGCATTTAGTGGTAAGATACACATCTAAGTTTGGTTTTAGTAATTCGTGAAAACTGTGACATAATTATTTGTTTTTGCGCATGCCTGAAAAATGACACGATTGTTTAGATATTTTGTCTAAAATGTGAAATTAAATGAACTGAGATAAAATCTGAATGTTTTAGGAGCTTGTCCTACTGGAAGTAAATATGATAAGACTAGCGATACTTGTAAACCGTGTCCACTTGGTACTTATCAACAAGATGAAGCTTCATCATCTGACTGTATGAACTGTCCACCTGAAAAAACAACAGTTCAAATAGCTTCTACACACATAGATAACTGTACAGGTAGGTATACGTATCAGTGTGATACGTAGTTCCAATTATGAATATATAACAATGATATAGAAGGTTTGATCCACGAATCGCTACATGTACCTGTATACTATATTCACCGGGACTATCTATAATTCGATATACGGTAGGTACCACTTTGTTGTCATTACATTATGGTTATAACAAAGTGGAATCGGGACTGACCTACCTTTTATGCACATAAGTTGACATTCAGCATCAAAAGAACTTTCATCATCAGCAACACCTTGATTGGAAAGTAATTAACGGGGTTTCTTTTCCCCTGCCTGTTTTAATATTTAACATGACATGATACAGTTTCGTTTTTTTGTCAGTTTAATATGAAAATATACATCATTATAGATCAGTATAATTATGGAGTACTTAAAATAGTTGTAATTTGTCTAAAATTTTATATAGAGATGTGTGAAGCTGGTAAATATTCTAAAACAGGAGTTGAACCTTGTACACATTGTTCTCAGGGAACATATCAACCAAATATTAATTCTACAGACTGTATTAAATGTTCCCTTGGTTTAATAACATCTTCTAGTGGAGCAACAGATTTATCTAGTTGTACAGGTAGGCGAAATACTTTATTCAGGGGAGATTTGAAAACGAAACACAAACAGCTTGATATGTAAAAAGGGATAACTACCATTCATAATTTCTACTTTTCGCCTCTTCAGAACACGAAAGTCGCAAAGTAGAAGTTACGACAAAATGTGAGGCGACAAGACGGTATACAAGCCAAAATCAACTCGAAAATAGGAAATTAAGAAATAACACACCGCGATAATAGCGCCCTCCGTTTTTTCTTAATTTCTACTTTTCGCTTTTCGACTTGCATTTTGGCTTGTATACCGTCTTGTCGACTTTCGACTTAGTCATATTTTTGTGTTTATTGATGTCAGTAAGAAGGCGCCAACACGCTATACAAGCCAAAATGCAACTCGAAAAGTAGAAATTAGGAAATTAACACACTGCGCTATTAGCGACCTATGATCTGTCGTACTGTCGACTTTTCGACTTTTCGACTTTCGACTTTTTCGACTTTTCGACTTTCGACTTTTCGACTTTTCGAATTTTCGACTTTTCGCCTAGGAAGTTGTTGTAGTCTCTGCCTTCCAGGTCACATTTGAATACGCGCAATTCCCGTTAACAAAAATGTCTGTGTGATAGAGTCTAGTAATTGCTGGGACCATTCTATGGAAAATTCTGCTGCGATAGCTATTCTGACAAAAAATAAACGTCTGTTGTAGTGGCTATTCTGCCGAATAAATCTGCTGTGATGGATAATCTCACGAAATTCCTGATATAATGGATATTCTAAAGAAAATCCTACTGTGTGAACCAAGCTGAAAAGCCATTCTGTTGTAATTGCTATTGTGACGAAAAATTCTGATGCGCCGAACATTCATAGCCTACATAGGGCCTAAGATAAATTACTTTTCAAGGCCAACCCTGTTTTATTTGTCTCTTATCGCCGGGACTCTTTTAGTTTTTAACTGCCTGTATTATGAAATAATCTTCCATTTACTATAAAATAGTGTACATCTTTATATTCTTTTAAAAAACAACTTAACACGTTTATTTAAACAGGATTTAACTGACAAAGTATGCGACTGATAATATGTCCATAATTTTGCTTGTTGGTTTGTTTTTTTGTTTTTTTTATATATGGTTACATTGCCAGTTTGTAAAGTGCCACTGGACACGGTATATGAAAGGGTCCACTATATGCTGCAATAGTAATAAATATGCTGTAATAGTAATAAATATGCTGTGATAGTAATCTATAGAAAATATTACTGTTGGGACCAACCTATAGAACATCCTGCTGTGAAGGCCAATCTGAACTAATATAAATGAGTACATAAAAATCCCGCTGGAGATTAATCTGAGCAAAATCCCTGCCGTGAGGGATAACCTAAAAAAAATCCTGTGGTTGGGACCAATGAAGAAATTCCTGTTGTGACGAATCTAAATACAAAATCGTGTCTTGGGGCCAATCGAAATTTTAAAAAAATCCTGCTGCTGTGAGAGCCAATCTCCGATATAAATACGGTGTTTGTGGGTGGTGGTGGGGGGTGTATAGAATATTTATTTCTTTCGTCACTTTTTTGTGTATATTGGGGGCGGGATTAATGGCGTTATGGGTGACAGATTGTCAAAGTTAGCGATATAAATAAGGCTATATTAGTTTATTTTTCTACTTTTAAATCCTGGCCTGGAATAGCAGGTAAACGGGTTTTAACATTTATGTAGTAGTCAATGTGGTCTGCCCCCAATTGTTCAAATTATTTCCCGTGATATTTCGAAGGTGAAGGCTGGCAGCGGACAATCATTCTGGTCTAGTGGCTATGATGCCTGTCACTTTGTATTGGCTACGAAAGAGTGTTAACCAAAATAATCGCCATCATTACTAGACTCTATCACACAGACATTTTTGTTAACGGGAATTGCGCGTATTCAAATGTGACCTGGAAGGCAGAGACTACAACAACTTCCTAGGCCAAAAGGAGAAAAGTCGAAAAGTAGAAAAGTCGAAAGTCGAAAAGTCGACAGTACGACAGATCATAGGTCGCTAATAGCGCAGTGTGTTAATTTCCTAATTTCTACTTTTCGAGTTGCATTTTGGCTTGTATAGCGTGTTGGCGCCTTCTTACTGACATCAATAAATACAAAATTATGACTAAGTCGAAAGTCGACAAGACGGTATACAAGCCAAAATGCAAGTCGAAAAGTAGAAATTAAGAAAAAACGGGGGGGGGGGGGGCGCTATTATCGCGGTGTGTTATTTCTTAATTTCCTATTTTCGAGTTGATTTTGGCTTGTATACCGTCTTGTCGCCTCACATTTTGTCGTAACTTCTACTTTTCGACTTTTCGACTTTCGTGTTCTGAAGAGGCGAAAAGTAGAAATTATGAATGGTAGTTATAGGCTTCCATAGAAATGGCATAAAACAATAAAAAATTAAAGTATTTATGTCTCATAACAACACATGGCACATTGTGTGAAATACACAAATTTATCCTGGTCTAATTGTCGCTCAATAATGAACACGTACTATGTTTACCAGTTCGAGTATAACTTAAAGGACAATTGTGTATATGCTATAACGAAGTAACTCCAGACACTTCACCTGGATAGAAACACCACAAGAGATGGATTAAGTAAACTGGTATTTGTCACACAGTTATCAATATAAAATTGTTAGTTGGGCGTAATATTTAATATTTATTGATTAATGCTTTTGTTTTAGCGTTTGATTTGTTGATAAGTGACAGACAGTGGATTGAATCGACACCAGTTTCATCTTCAACAACTTTTGGCCAGTATACCATACTAGGTATATTGAAGATTACCAAAATAGCTGATATTGGAATATCCTTACAGTTGAATCATCTCGATGTAGACAATGTTGTTAATTACACAATTGTCGAGAACTCAATTAATATTAATCGGTAATTAATCTTAGTATCTTTATGCAAATATTAATATTTGGAGGATATCTAGAACTGTGGGTCTTTCACTACGGAATATTCGAGATGTTTAGCTGTTTACACAACTGATTGTCGTTTTCTCATAAATTCTTTGTTACGAACTGATTAAAATGACTTTTTATTTCATTCTCAAGATTCGATAATGTAACAGAAGCGGCGTGAATAGTGCAGAGACAAACGGAATTTATTTTTAAACAAAATCATTTAAGTGTAGTTAAAACATTTCTTCATAAAACATCAACTTATAAAAAATGTCAAATTATTCAGTAAAATATCGAATATTTAATTAATCGTTTGAAACAATTACGTTAAATTTAACTATATACTGGAATCTGAATTATCTATTTTCAGTAATAATATGTCAGTAACTTTCGCCGGAGACTGGATTTATTTATTGATTTCTGTGAATCAATCTGGGACTGATATACAAGTATTTTCGTCGTCGAGATTAATTGCATCCCATACCGTAAATATTACTTCTGTAATAGTAAATGGAACTAGTCTTAGACTAACAACGAATGAGGGTTGCAGTGAGTAGCTAACAAGTATATGAAATACTTTTTGAATTTCAAATATATATTTTATAATAATAATACTTTAAGTGAATACAAAAATATATAGTTTAGTTTACCAAGCTTTATCTTTCTCTGTATAATTACAATGGACAAGTTTATAAATAGCACACTGAAGAAATAAAACAAAAATGATATCCCCTTTTGAAGTGCATGTCATATTTTGATGTTGGTCTGACATGGTCTTGAATGACAAAGATATGTATAGCTATTGAGTTATATAACCAGCATGGTGGAATCGGTCCACAGATGTTCAACAGCCTGAACACTTGCGACGAACACGACCCGGGCAAACAGCAAAAAAATCTGTCAAACTATAATATTCTTGTAGAAATGATAACCACATTTCGTAAAAGACAGATCAAGAAAATTCAGTATATTGCTGAGAAATGAACTCTTAAGGAAAGTACGAAATCTGTTGTATTGTCTGTGTTTTATTTGATAGTGTAATGAAATGTTAAAACTCCATTATCTTATATATACTTTCTTACAGGTTTGATAGTTCGGTCACTCCGAATATTTGGAAGTCCCATACCTGAAGACGAACTAACCAAACAACTAGAGACATGTGATATTACTATTAAAGACGAACCAATCCTATCATTTGATAATCTTGATTCTGTTCAATCATCAGATATCGAAATAACCATACCAAGTTCATGTGATGGTTTGTATTTGATATTGTTTTTGAAACGCTAGATATTTATGAATATAAATTTTTTACATGTTTGTAAATAGCATGTTGCGTATTTCAAAGCAATATAATTATTTTGCGGTTTTGTCTATTCACACTTTTATATTTCTTAAGACATTAAATATTACAAATGATGCAGTCATAATAACTCTCTAGATTATCGGAAGGCTGAGATATTGATTGGCTTAGAGAATGTCTGTCATGTCTTCGTTAAACCTTAAAATGGAAATCGAGACTTTGTTTGTACTTGACAATCGAGACTATTTACGCTATTTCTTGTCAAAACTTCGAACATTTTTAACCTTGCTGGGAATAAAGTAATGTGACTGAAATTTTCAATATATTCATTTTTCATTATCTATTTTTAAACTAGAGCAAGAATGGTCAGCTCTGTATCCAACTCTTACCTAATATATATTTAATGATGAGAAATCAATAGGTCAATTAAGGATTAGAAATGTTTCGAATAGAAACGGATGCCATACAAGTAATAGTCATACGTTTTTTAACGAACAATATAATATTTCAGCATATGACGACTGTTTATCATCACCATGTAATAATCATACCTGTATTAATGAACAAGGGGGTTTTACCTGTCAATGTAAAGATGGTTATACAGGAACCACGTGTAATATTCCACCGGATTATTGTGTAAATAATTTGTGTGAGAATGATGCCATTTGTCAAAATTCTCTTATAACAAAGAACAATACCTGCAACTGTAAGCCAGGATATAAAGGAAGGCTGTGCTCTTATGAAATTGGTAAGTACGGCGTTTTATTAGCTCATGGGTATAATTCAAAGGAAATTAATTCCCTCTGGCGTGCCACGTGGCTTTGTTCTAGGTCCACTTCTTTTTCTGGTCTACGTCAATGAATGTTCCAAACTTCGGTGATGATACTTCCCTCTGATTGAAAACTATGCGCAACTATATTAAACAGTGACCTGGAAAAAATTATCTCATGGACTAAAACGTGACTGATTATCATTTAACCCACGGAAGACGAAAGCACTAGCACTGATAACAAAACAAAATCCTATTTTTCCTAATCTTACTCTAATTAATGTTCCCACAAAATAGGTCTCTGGTCACACACAACCATTTAGGCTTTTAAACCTTTTAACGAAATATTGTCAATTGGTTAAGATACCTTAAATACAGACTAAACCGCAAATCACTACAAACCATCTATACTTCTTTCAATTTACCTCATCTATATAGGACAACTGCACGGACCAACTAGCTAACAAATTAGCTCACCTACAATTTGTCTGTCTAGAAACCGGTTTTATTACCAAAAGAGACACAGACGAACTCAAATTTATTTATAAAATCATTAAGGACCTTTTTTCAACATATCTCCATGATTTAATCTTAACAAAAGGGCATACTTCAATCTCTGTAAAAACAAAAATTATAAATTCAATATCTTTAAATACTTTCAATTCGAAACTGGTGACTCAAAAGCAAACCCTACCTAAATCTTTAGTATTTGGGGCCAGCGTAAACCAGACCATTCATTGTAAACTGCGTTTCTCTTGTACCCATCTGAAAGGATATAAAACTTTCCCTTGAATTACTCTTTATATTCAGATACTCGTATAATAAACAACATGCCGCCTACTTTGAAAGTACTGTAAACATTTTTCGAGCTACCCATTCGTATTTCAAACTCCCAAGAATTTTCCAAGGCCAAACATAACAGCACGGTTCATAATTGTAAATAAATTGCAGTGGTATTCAAGCGCCATGGGCCGATATTCCCAACTTTGTATAAACTAAAAATTTGTTTTATGTTAGTTAATGGTGGATGGAGTGATTGGAGTGAGTGGTCTCAATGTTCTGTAACATGTAATGGTGGAAATAAAACTAGACAAAGAACGTGTACCAACCCTTCACCAGATGAAGATGGTTTAAACTGTACAGGAGGATCAATGGAACTGCTAGATTGCAATATAGAACATTGTCCAGGTCTGATGAATCTTTTTGCTGCTTTTTTAACGTTTCTTTTTAGGTTGGGGGGTGAGGGGCGGGGGTACACCGACCTTCATGTTTTATCCTCCTGTGGCATTAGACTGACAACTATATCAATAGGTTGTTGTGGCTTTGGTTTCCGAAACAGAAATGATTTACTCAAAAAAAGACATGGAAGTGTTTACATATTTTATGCCATTGATTCGAAAAAGATAATTGGTGCCCTTAGGAAATATTCCATACATGATGTGTTGGCCTTTCTGTAGGGTTTCTGAATATGTACCGCAGGAACATAAGTGTTTATCCCATTGGCAAGATAGCGTATTTACAGATGTCCACCCAAAGTGTATTTCGCTATGAGTTAAGTATTGTTTAATGGCCGTGAGGCCCGAGTGTTGTTTAAATATATTACGCAATGTCTGAAGCTCGAGACCATTAAACAACCTACAATACAGACACTCTACACGTGCTTTTACAGTGAAATGCGTCACGCGAGTCCAATATTTCACTAGTATAAATAATGTACGATTGGCAAGTTGCCTGTACATTATTTGAAATAATAGTAAGCCAACATCAACGGATGACGTCACATCTGTATTTTAACATGAAATAATCAGTGTGTAGCCAAGAAACTGGGACACCTCTTCGCGCTGTTCACTTCTTGGCTTCCAGTCTATAATTGGAAGTCGAAAGCAAGACGCCGAGAAGGGATTTCACATCGTCTTCAGATTTGTATCGGTTTCTCTAGACTGTACTTCAAAATGGATATACAAGTACCAAATTATCAAAAATTTCCAATACTTCCAACCTATAATTATGATTCTCTCTTGTAGAGTGCCATGAAGGCAACTTGACTTTAGCAAATGGTGTAGCAAAAGCAGAATGTACAGGTGACAAGGATGATATGATATGTTCACCTATTTGCCAGATTGGATTTGTATTCAAAGATATTATACCTAGCTATGAATGTAAAGGTGGAGACTGGCTGTCTGGAAATAAAACAGAACCTTGCACAAGTATAATATAACAAAATTTGTATTTTTTGTTTTACCAGGGTGTGGGGATCACGTGGCTAAGTGGGTAAGACGCTGGCTGGAGGTCCGGTGTTCGATCCCTGCATTGGCCGAGAAAGTTCAGGACGGAGGGCCTGAGAAGGACACCTGTCTAGTCGTTCGGATGGGACGAAAAACCGAGGTCCCAAGTACAAATTGGCGTGCACGTAAAAGATCCCTTGGTAGTTGGAATTGATGTAAGAGTAGGCCGTAGCGCCGCTGCCCGGGCAAAATTTCCCTCATGGAACACTGTATGGCGTATGCCCGTCTTCATTAGCCCAGTTTAGGAGCAAAACAGTAGGACGTTAAACCCCATTTCATTTCATTTTACCCAGGGGGGGGGGATATCAGTTCAGAATGTTTAGCTTGGTGTAAGGCTATGGGCCTTGTTTTAAACTTTATTACAGTTAATAAGAGGACGAACCATAACGTTTTACAGCGTTCTGCGACCTTCCGTTCTGACCTCTGATTTGAGATGTACCTCACAAATGAAAGAGTGTATACTGATTGGCGTGATCACGCGATAAGCATTTTGGTAGGGGTTACAAAAACAGAGCATAAAGATAAAAGTTGTCAGGTGTAATACTCGACACGAGATATGAAAAAATAGTAACTTTTAGTTGCCTTGATTTCATAGAGTACCGTTTGATCAAAATGATCTAGAATCATTGTGCTAAGAAGAGATTGGGATTCAGAAAGTTTTTTCTTAACCCATTTGATTCACTTAAAAATTTCTGGACGGCTTCTTTTACTTTCTATGAATTTATTTAACAGAACCTGTAATCCCAGAAGAATATAAAGTTAATTTGGGATTATCATATAAAATACCTGACTGTGATTCCCAGTATGATGTACAGAATCAAATTGTCCAGATAACAGATCAGTTACCATGTTCTACTAACCCAGATTGTACGTTGAATGTTACAATAAACAGTTGTCTTTTAGAACCTGCTCCTACCTTAGCTCTAGGCGTGTCCATTAATATACCAATTAACCAATCAACAATTGATTTTCAACCAGGTAATAATGATAATGCTATGATTACGGAGATCAATGTAGCCAATTAGAAATGAGGTCCAGTGGGTCCCATGTCACATTAACATGTTGAACCACGTTGACATAATTTATGGTTAAAAATCGGGCAATCAAGTACAAAAGATAATAAAACTGAATTTGCATATCCCAGCGTTTTGTCTGAATAATCGCATTCACGGCCTATTCTAATTTCGATGGCAACACTCATGGGATCTTTAACCTTCCTGCTCCATACATATTAAAATTAGAGTTATATCGTTATTAAAATAAATGTTATACTCCGAATATGAAACAACCAACGCGAAAGTCCCGGGCCTATAGCATCTGGTTGTGTCATCCTTGAAAATTGTATTAACTATTTTGTCGAAATGGGTATCTAACAAGAACATTGAAATTCAAATATGACCGTTCACAGTTCTCAGCATACCTGTTCTAACATATTAGTAGATAAAGAAGAATGACCCGTGCTGAAACTGGTCAGTTATATTTTGGATTTTATTCTGTGATGTCACCTAGGATTAATTATTGAAGTCGTAAGATCTTACAAAGTATTACTATTTTAATACTAAAATCAACAGGCTGTGAAAGGAAATGTCTTTAGAAAAATGTTTGATATATCAGGATTAGATGTGAATGGAGACCTAATATTAATTTTTGGTTGTTATTAAAGGAAATGGTACAGATGATGTAACTCGTGCGTTAGATACTTTAGATAGAACATCTCAAATTCTTCAGGATGACGACGCCATCTTTAATGTTATTATTAATGGTGTGAACTATACAAGTGACATGGATGTTGTTGGAACTATTAAATGTCCACCTGGAACCGTTCAAGCAAATGGTATTTGTGGTAAGTATCAAAATATATGATTTTTTTGGAAAATGCATTGTAGGTATGGGTACATACCACATACAAGCCTAGGATCGAAACCACACCACTTGACACAATGAATCATCGGTTCCACTCCCACCCCCTCCCACAGTAATGCTATATGAAAAGAATTCTGGTTAATTTGTGCATTCATCCAAATTGTATCTAAATGTCGCTGAATTCAAATTTATTACAAGTAACTTCCGTTTTAATCATACAACGTGTTAACGCTTATTCTTAGGGGAGGGGGAGGGGGAAGTGGGTTGGTATCTACTTCCCCCACCACACTCGATGGGCTCATAAAAAGCATTTTCAATAAGATACATCTAATAACTGAGTGAATCAATCAAAAGTCTGCTGTTTTGGGAAATACTGGGTATTCTTTGAATGATAAGTGAATTTATATTATTAGCTTTAAACATACCAAATTTATCTATAAGATTCTTAATATCGCATGTATTATTTAAACCAATATTTTATAAATATTCTGACTATCTGTAGGTATTGATCATATAATTTAACTACACGGTATCCAGGTAGTGATGTTATCAACTGAGCTATTGTTTCACAAATGTGATTGAAAATGACTTATTTAATTTCCTTTATAGTTGAGTGTTCCCCGGGAGAATATTATAAAGAAGACGATGATGTTTGTGAATATTGTGCACTAGGAACTTATCAACCTGATATTGGACAAACGTTTTGCTATAATTGTCCAGATGGATTGATGACACAATTTATCGGCTCAGACAGATTATCAGATTGTTCCTTGGGATTTTTTGGTGTCGTTTCATGGATGTTATTCCTTCCTTTTTTTAACAGATGACAACTCTTCACCAGCCAGTTATCTCTGGATCGCTATCGTAGTGCCGGTAACCGTAGTTGTAACAGTTTTTGTAATCACGGTACTTCTGATTGTTCGAAACAACTTGAAGAGGTAATTAAAACAGAATGTACTTTGTTTATTGTACACAAATAAGTTTTTTGTTTGCTACCGCCCCTTTGTTTGCTATATACTGCCCCGTCCACCACACGCCTATTTTTAAAAAGAGTACGATAGTGTTACGATAAGGTGTTTGAATAGAACACTTTGGTATTTTTAAAATAATTATACACATTTGATGACTAATTGCATTATTATGAATGATATATTTTTTTTTACTTTTCAGTAAAAATCTGATAGTAAGTATTCGGTTTTTTTTTTATTTTAAATCTCAGATAAAGCTAATGATAAAATCTGTTATGTTATAATACATACATCCCGTTTTCTTTAGTTCGGTTAGCATAAAAAAAAGTGGGGCGTTAAACCCCATTTCATTGCAGTTACCTACACGCCAGTGGACAGTTACTGCATTATTATTAATTGATTAGGAGGATGGTCCTACGGAATATGCCTATTATTTTCAGTTTATTCTTAATTCTAATTAAGAGCTAAATACAAGAACTGTTTATAAGATGTGAATTGCTGAAACAAACATATTAAAACTTTCTAAAGCTATTATATTAGAAATGTCAATTATGTATAGGAACTATTCCATAATATGTGTTCTCTATTTTAGGGTTTGAAGAAAGAACAGTTTTAGTTAACTTTAAAGTAAACAAATTGTGCATTATATTATGTAATTGTGTTTCCTATTATTGATTTCTCTACTTCTATAGTGTAATTTATGGTTTAATCGTGTATTCTATTGTTTAATCATATAATCTATGGCTTAATCGTTTAATATGTGGTTTGATTGTGTAAAATATGGTGTAATCAATGGTGCAATCTATGGTTTACTCGTGTAAGCTGTGATGCAATCGTGTAATATATAGTTAAATCGTGTAATCTAAGGGTTAATCTATAATCTATGATGCAATCGTGTAATCTATGAGGTAATCATGTAATCTACAATGGAATCACGTAATAGATGGTGTAATTGTGTAATTATGTAATGATTGCCCATATATCTATATTTCGAGATATTACATTAAATGAAGAGGGGGCGTAAGAACTGTTTATCAATTAAATTTTCTGCAAAATGATATTTGTCAGTTTGGTTATGCATATTGCTATATTGTACATATTATACCCAAGAATAATTCTTGAAAATAAGCAGAAAATATTAAGAAATCTGACTCCACTTATAGTCAAATTCAGACATGACTCGATTAGGTTAAGAAAGCCAACCAAACAAGTGACCGTGTTACCAAGCAATCATTGTCACATTTCACTTGAGACGTTGAATTCCCGGCATTTGATGCTGTATTTTCGTCGACTTCTTTTGATTTACATCAAGGGGAGAAGGTGAATGAGGGCGGTCGAGTAACAATTAATTTATTGACAACACCTATAATTACATATAGCTCAATTTATTAGGATTTCATCAGTGGAAGCTACTAGAAAAGCAACCATTTTTGAACGTCGCCGTGTCAAATAATAGTTCTGCTTCAGTGGGGGTATTTTAAGTTTTCACTTCAAATATCATCCAGGGTAATGTTTATTGAAAACTTGTTTAATTAACATGCCCTTTCATAAATCAACCAAAAACAAAAAGTACAATCCAGTAAAAATATGTTGTCAGAGTGATTTAATTGGAAAGACAGCATTAATCCATTGTCTGATGGTTAATATTTCCATATTTCTGGCTTTAATCACATCGACAGGGTCGTTAGTATTATGTCCCCTGAAAGAGTAGAAAAAAGAATCGCACATAAGAATATACATTCAATAACATATCAAGTTCCCTCTTCTATGACCCTACCCGCTGTCCAATCGACTAACAAACCACGGATTGTGGATACATCATCAACCCTTTTCGACGATAACATATCGCGCTTTTTCTAAGCTGATAATTGATACACCTACAATATAAATAACCGATCAAATTCGTCCATATTTCGTTTAGACCACACTAACCTATTATATAGACATTTTTATACGCCCACATATTTATACGTATATTGTCGTCGCCCCTGCCCGTCAGTCCGTCCGTTCACATTTTGTTTGTGGACACTCTACAGGTCACAATTTTTATCCTATTTTATAGGATATTAATTTCTTTTCTTTTTTGTTTGATGTTATTTTTTTATCATATACGCTCACATATATTCACGTGGACGTATATTGTCGTCGCACCTGTCCGTCCGGACATCCGGACGTTCGTCCGTCCACAATTAATTTTATTTGTGGTTGAAACTTGAAATATACGTGTATCTCCCAAAGATATTGGTTCCTTTCGAAATTGGCATGTACCGGACCGTAACTTCATGGATTATGGCCCCTGATTGTACGAAAAATCACGTTTTTAGCTTGTGGACACTCTAGATCTCATTTCCTTTCGATATTCTAGCATATCGGAGCGTGCCAGATTTATGAAATATCGCGTGATTAGCCTGTGGTCACTCTAGATGTCAATTTTTATCTGATTTAAAAAAAAAAAAAACGTTTAAGTATATCACCGTTACACCGTAATATCGGTTGAGTTCGAATTTCGTGAAAATCGGACCATAACTGCCGGACAAACTGACCGCCCCTCGTATACAAATGGTGTAAAACTATGGTACATCAATTTTGATCCGATTTTTACGAAACTTGAAATACATGTTTGCAACCCAAAGATCTTGGTTCCTGTCGATATTCGCGCATATCGGATTGTTACTTCCTGATTTATGGCCTTTGATTGCACAAAATCGCGTTTTTAGCTTGTGGTCCCTCTACAGGTCACAATTTTTATTCGATTTAAAAAACCGTTTGAATATATCACTGTCATACCCTAATGATGTCTGACTTCGAATTTCATGAAAATCAGATTAAAACTGTTGGACAAAATGGCCGACCCTCGTAAGCAAATAGCGTAAAAATGTGGCATGTCAAGGTTGGGTCACTCTAGAGACCACAATTGTGATCCGATTTTGATGAAACATTAAATTTATGTTTATATCACAAAGGTCTTGGTCACTTTCGATAGTCGCGTATATCCGAACATAACTTCCTGTATTATAGCCCCTGATTGTTCGAAAATTGCATTTTAGCTTGTGGACCCGCTAGAAATCACAATTTGTATTCAATTTTTTTTTTAAAAAAAAACGTTTAAATATATCACCGTTACACCATATTGATGGTTGAATACGAATTTCGTAAAAATCGGATCGAATCTGTCCGACAAAATAGTGTAAAAGTATGCAATACCGATTAGGTTGTGAACCCTCTAGATGTCACAATTTTTATCGGATTTTGATGAAATCTAAAATATGTTTATATCCGGAAGATCTGAGTACCTTTGCGCATTCCAGACCATAACTTCCTCGTTCATGGCCCCTGATTGTACGAAAAATCACGTTTGCAAAATGTACGGAAAATCACGCTTGCAAAATGTGGGCGTATCTTTTCTAGCAACCGCTGGTAAAGTTATTTTTGTTACATTGGTGATTATGGTTATGATTTACCTTAAATCCAAATGATGAGCTCCATTATGAATAATAATACTGGTCAAATTAGGACCTAGGTCATGTAAGACCTGAAACAAAATGCGGGTTTATAAATGAAGATAAATGTTGGATATAGCTCATATTAAAACGAAAGTAAAAAGTGTCTTAGAGAGTAACCTTGTTTTTAATTATTACATTATAAAAGATGGAAACGCTTCACGCAATAAAACAATATAATTTGTACAGTTTACTATTATGCTTACCCCAGCAAAAGCCCATGGATCCTTAAAACCATTGGAAAATAATATATTAGATCCGGGGGATACATCTACAAATAAACAATCATTCATCACACGATAATAGTTCAATACACTCAATGCTGTGCATAACAATTACCTTTGGATTCTATCAGTTTTCCGAAGGTAAAATTTATGTTACTATACATTAAGTACATTAGTATATGGGGCATTATATCTTCTCGCCAATGGATAAATATCCCTAAACTGACCCTTACGTGTTCTGGGGGATTCATGAAATTTCCTGTGCTTTGCACAAAACGCTGTTTTGCAGGATGCCCTTGTTCCTTGCCGCTGTAGACACCGATGGGTTTAGTTCCGATAGAGTATTTTGAAATAATGAACTTCCATTTCTTCAATCTGTTAAATTATAAACATGTGTTGGTTTACCAGTTAAATCGTCAATGCAGTTGTAAAATGGGCCTTTTAAAAGTCAAATAAAGGTACTTTTACTACTTAAAAAAAGTGATTCCTAATGGGTTCTATAAACTTCGGTTTATCAATACATACCAAATCCCCATAAGTTCACGCTCGCCCATTTATCTCTCGGTACCAGTCCATATTTTGTTTTACAATAGTCGTTTCTCATTTTGGCGGTGTAATTAATAGGTAGAAACATATCCTGCACACCATCAGTAGTAAATAACATCGGTATTTCAGAACAGGCCTGCAACAAATACATAGTTTTCTCAAAATATAACCATATCTTGGTACCACATAACGATATGATAAATCTCTAACCATTACATATTTAGTGTATGTGGTTTCAGCCCAGAGTGATCAGAATGCTGTAAAAGTGCACCTGCATTGCTTAGTGGTGGAATGCACATAATATTAATAGCAGTGGGAGGAAATCGGAGGACTCGGAGAAAACCCACGAGGTTGGATAGGCGACCCTACTCCTTGTCACGTACAACCGGCGAATCGAAACCACGCCAGTATGACTCAGTGACAGACCTTATGATACAACGCGCACACGCTAACCTTTCGGCTATACAACCCCTCAAGTACTAAAGAAGATATAATCAGCAGTCAAAGTAATTGACTTTATGGAATTCAATATATCCAGCACTAAATCGGGTTAACCTTTTATTGTTATTACCTGAATATCCCAGGCCAAACTATCGGGACCTAGACCACACCCACTGGGATCAGCACATTCCACATACTCTTCCCAAATATCAAAACATGGCAGCTTACCATTAGTACCATTATAAAACAAAGCTAAAACAAAACAAGATTGTGAGAATTATGTTGACAGCTTTTCCTTAATCTTTTTAAAACACCTGGTACCACTACTCTTATTTGTTACTATTATTTACTATTATTGCTTAAACAGGCATTGTGTAAAGCCATATCTGCCTATTGCAGGTCTTTCTTTGGGCGTATAAACTATTAATTTATTAACACGACAAGATGATAATCAACTTTCCGTGCCATCGGATGGCTCTGATTTTAAGTAGATTAATGATTTAATTTAAAAAGTGGAGAAGCGAGGCTAAGATTCGAATGACCAGTACGGTGGTTACGGCCAATGCCCACAACTTTAACACTTGGTCTTTAACAGTGGGGAAAACGGAGGACTCGGAGAAAACCCACGAGGTTGGACAAGCAACCCTACTCCAGCAAATGTGGAAGTGTTGGTTCTATTTCCCTAATTTTAAGCTTTACATTTGGTTTATTTCTAAAATCGTCATCTAATTATTGTCAACTACTGCTCATTGTACAAAAAATTATACCTGTAATCTGAGCTAATCCTTTCACAAGGTCATCTTTATTAACCATAAAGTCGCACGACTTCTGCAAACAAAGAATTATGAGTGATTCCAGATTGGATTCTTAGCATCTAAGAAAGATTTGTACTAAATATAAATATATCCATTCGAGAATTCTGAATTTTAACATAAATTATTTCGTGATATTAATGTCTCATTCCTGTGGTAAAGACTACGATATCTTGCACCTAGCTATTTATACTATTCAAAAAAAAGTAGGGGATATTTGATTTTGGGGGCATAATACTAAAATATGCAAATGACTACGAAAAAAGTCACTATAGAACCTAACAGAAGAAACATTTCCAGTTACATGTGACGCCCAAACGCACCAATAGCTACCGCATGGAATGCAGGTGATGCTTGGGATCATCATGGGGGTCCAACCCAAGATTTGCACGACTCTGACTTTGAATGTTACAGTCATTGTGGCATTGAATTCCAGGGTGGAAACATCAGTTTAATTGTTTTAGTGACCAGAAAACAAATTTTGATATGCGTCGGCTTACCCAAAATGAAAGGTTACGTGCCCTTGGCATGCTACAGATTGGCACAACACAGGCGGTTGTGGCGCGGACGATGAATGTTTCTCAGTCTGTCATAAGCAGGCTATGGTCCAGATACCGTGATACACAATCTGTACAGGACAGACCACGCTCAGGTCGACCAAGGGCGACAACTCAAGCCCAGGATCGATTTATCCGTACCTTGGCCTTGAGAAATCGTGTCATCACAGCAAATCAGATCAGCGCTCGTCTTCAAACAGACACTGGTGTGAGAGTGAGTGGCCAGACGATTCGGAATCGACTGCATAGGGGTCACCTTCGCGCCCGACGTCCTCGCGTGATCCCTTGTTTGAGAGATCATCACATTCAGGCAAGACGTCGTTGGTGTAGGGATCGTCAACACTGGGATAATCGACGCTGGAGCAATGTGATGTTTTCAAATGAGTCAAGGTTCACTGTTGATTTTTTGGACAGACGTAGGAGGGTGTGGCGTCGTCGAAACGAGCGCTTCCAAGACGTTAACGTCATCAGACATGATCGATTTGGGGGTGGTTCTGTTATGGTGTGGGGAGGCATCACTGTTGCTGTAAGAACGACTTTACATGTTGTTGCAGGGCGTGTTACAGGCCAGTACTACCGGGACAACATCTTGGCAGTCCATGTTGTGCCGTTCGCACGACGTCATGGCCGCCGTTTCATCTTCCAGGATGACAACGCAAGATGTCATAGGGCCAGGATCGTTACAGGTTACCTCCAACAACAGAACATCACCACATTACCTTGGACAGCACTGAATCTCGACCTCTCCCCCATCGAGCATGTCTGGGACATGCTTGGACAGAGGTTACGGCAACGTCAACAACGTCCTGCCAATGTCCAAGAACTTGCTGCTGCGTTGCAACAGGAATGGGACAATCTGGACCAAAATGACCTTAGACGTCTCATTAGGAGTATGCCACGTCGGATCAATGCTTGTTTGGCAAACAGAGGAGGATTTACCCGTTACTGACTTGGTTGTGATGCTGTGGTAACTTTGCTGTTTGACCCCGGGTATCATTTTACCCTTATAATGGTCAGTCTGTGCCTTACTTAGTCTAACGATCATTTGGAATAAATCGATGAATGTGAACTTCATTTCATTTTGTCATTTGTTTCTTCGTCAGTTTCATTAGGTGACTTTAATAACACTTAAAAATCAAATATCCCCTACTTTTTTTGAATAGTATATCTTGAACTACTGACAACGTTATCAATCAATCGGTCTTTAGCGATCTCATAAACAGAATATTCTTGTCTTTCAACAGTGGAAAGTGAAACAGTTTGGTGACAGAAGGAGTTGCTCCTAAACTGTGGACTAAACTGTGAAACCCTGATTACCTTCATATTACAGTTGAAGACTCTATTATTTCAGGAATGCTATGAGAATTAGACTTTTTATTAAAACATGTTTTATCGTTAGCCACCTCTGAAATAGATGTTGATATGACAACATACCTTAAGAAATACCTTTATTTATACCACATTTGACATTACTGTGTAATAACTTACATCAACGGGAAAAGCTGGTAGCTCTGACTCAAAGTTGGTTGGATATGGATAATCAAACATGGCTAAAGATACAAAGGCATTTCTAATCCATCCAACCATATGATTATAACCTGTCTCATTTAACTTGCTACAAAGCATGAATTTTTCCGACAACATATTTAAGCCTGCAAGATAAAACATGATATAAATTGGTTTTAGGTTTTGAAGTCAAGGTATGGTTCACAACATGACAACTGACCTGTTTAGTCTTTCATTAACTACATACTATAAGAAACTGGCATAGCAACATAAAGTGGGGTAACCGAAATAAATGAATAAATTAGCGTACACCTGACATTCCCTTTCGTCATGGAGCCACGGTGGCTCAGTGAATAAGATACTGTCTCGCTAACCAGGGAATTTGAGGTTCACTGACGTTGTTGGCCGAGAAAGGTCATCGGGATTTTCCGGAGTGTTTTTTTTTTTTATCGTCAATGGAGGCCCGTACAACGAAAAACATCATCGCACACAGTATGGCGTATACCCGTCTTCATTAACCTGTCGGTGAAGAAACGTAGGACGTTAACCCTCATTTGTCAATTCTTGTGTTGAATATATTAGTTCTAAACACCACCTTTGATTGTAATGATTATACAAACTGTAAATATTGTATAGCAAATTATAACATACCTGTATCTCCACTCTTTGCCATGTCATCCATAATGTTGAAAGCCTTTCTTATATTAACAGAACAATTGGGATTTGACTGCTTAAAATCCTGGAAATTTATACGGGTCCTTATTCAAAAAGTGATGCAATTTAGAAATATGATAAACCATTTCTGTAGATGAGTTTTGTGATGCCTTTATTTAGTTAAATCATACACTACACTGCTAAGTTTTCACTGTTTCTATTCCCGGTCTACATCAAAACTTAATAAATATGGAAATGAATTTTTAGCGCCCCCTTTCTGTCTTCAGAAGTCAACTTTGTTAACTTGTTTTAAGTAATAAAACTAATTTTATAATTATTGCATTTTTTTTTTTACCCATGAACCCCCACCCAGTCTCTATCCTTGACTCGCTCTGGAGCTTCCGGTACCACCCAAAACCATCGGCTTGCCTGCTTGCGACGCACGATCGCTCGGCAGAACGACCATCAAAGAATAGTTTGCCACTATCTCTGCTCAAGAAATGCTCTTTCTTAAAAGCCGGCCCTTGCCTTCCGACACCCCTGCATATCCCCATGTTGGTAATATTATGGTACTTACGCCGCGAAGAGCGCTAAAACAAACCAGCATATTTTTAAAAGTATTATGAAAATTGGGGTTTATATCGAATAATCATCGTGTGTGATATGTTCGTATTTTTGACATTTTGTACATTGGGCCTTTCTGTTTGGCTTTCGGTTGAAGATATAAAATTCCTTAGAAAATAATTACCGCAGTAACTCGAACAAAAAATTGAGACGGATCAATTACATTAGATAGAAGATACATCGGGGCACTAGCTGCTATAGCTCCATCTACTAGATTAGGATATTTAAATCTCATATATGCACTCAACATACCACCATAGCTGCAAATACAAAGTCCAGGAATATTATAACCAATAGATATAAGGAAACAAGGTGGGACGAAAAACCGAACTGATATAAATTAATAGACGAAATTCACATTTGTGGGTACCCCAAATATTGGGAAATAATTGCCAGTCTTATAGTACTGACGGTTCGATTCTATTGCGTAAGGTTCGCTACAGGTATTCTGTGCGCATTTCAAAATTTATCACGCAGATGCAGTAGCTGAATTAGCCATTCATGACTACATCAGGGCGTTCCATAGTTGATGCCAAACAAATGTTAAAACCTTTCCAAAATCCCTGCCAAGTTCTCACATCACATTGACTAACAGTGGATTAGCAACGGTCATGCAGTTCGATCGGACAAGCGTTTAGAACAGACTGACCCCGTTGTTATGAATATCATTGAAAAACTATATACGATATGACGTCAATGTATACCCATTGACACCACAAACAATAAGTGCAGTATTATTTTGTGAATAAACATGTAGCACGCCTCCCATGACGTTTTCACGGGTATGCACATGAGCGACACTTTAAGTCACACAATTAATATGGTTATGTGCAGATTTTCTCAAAACTGTATTTATAGATTGTGAGATATAATCTGGTTGTACGGTTATATCTAATTGATAAGGCCAACTTCAAGTTTGGTCAAAGGTCACGAGATGTAAACAGGGCTAGCGCTAATCCCAACCCTAACCTACAATCTCGCCAGCAATCACGTGTCCTAACCTTATTTACATAAGTAAATTGAGTTGGCCTTAACAAAAAGATCTAGCCCTATTTGTACGATATCTTGAACGATTTCTAAAATATGTAACGGAAATGAGGAGGGGGTGGGGCAACGGGCGATACTCGATTTAACTATATATATCTCTGAATCTCACTCGACACGGGATGATAATATACACAAATTACAGAAGACGTCTCGGATATATTTGAATGCACAAAATTATAGTTAGTTCGATGTAGAAACATTTAGCCTTGTCCCTTGTATCTTTCTGAAGTTCTGTGAGGTGAAAGGCGGTGTAGAAGATAGGCGGTGTTCCAAACACAAATCTCTAAATCTATCAAGAACGCTTGTATAATAAACTATAATGATCTTTTAGAGGCATTTAGTAACTGGATAGAGCAATAAACTATAACACATACTTATGGAAGAACAAGCTTGTCGTAGCGTTGTGATTATGTAGATGTGTTTCAGAAGTTGATGTAGGTCAGGTAAAATGCACTCTAATTCTAATCTAATCAATATCAATCTAAGTTGTTAAAATAGCTTTTAATCTGGAGTTGATAATAACCTTTTTAAAGAGAAAGGGCATTTTAATGCCCTTTGTGTATTTTTCTTGTCTACTTATCATATATCTGGTGTCTACGTATGCTGACACTAAACTCTTGTATCGAGATTTGCCCCCCAAAACACCTTCAAATAAAGGGTGAATTTCTTGTCCTGGATGACAACCTCAGTTGAACAACAAAAGTAAAATCATACCTGCCACCAAATGTAATTACTGCTGATTTTCCTGCATTATAGGTTTGTTTAATTGAATGTATAAGCAGGGCATAATCTGCCAAAGCTTGTTCTATGGTTAGTAGTCCAATATTGTTTCCTTTAAAACTATCATCTCCAAATGGCAAACTTTTGCCATAAAATCTCTATATCAAAAACAGAAGCATAAAATAAAGTTAGAAGAAGATGATTAAATTTAAATTCGAAATAACTATACATAATATACACACAAGCACATAGCCTATACCATTAAGATTATGCCATGACAGACACCGTTACGCTTCGGGCGCAAAGAAAGTCTGTACATATTTCTACCTTTTCGAATAGTGTCCCTGAAGTCGCTGTCATACCATTGCTATTAATTAGCTACGATGTGAACATTTTGGAAATCGTGGATACTCTTATTGAAATTGGGGGTGTTTCGTAATCGTGGTTTTGATTTATCGAGATGCAGAGGTTTGGTGATGCCTGGGAACAACTCCTTCATCGCCTGTCCACAAGATTGAGCACGGGCTGGGGTGTGGTGGCAATTTAAAACAGATGACATAAACTTCAAAAAACTTAATTCTAATTTCACTCTTTCAATCGATGCCATGGAATGTCTCATCCCCGTCATCTGCCTGTCCCCACCCGGACCACGAAAGTACTTTAAAGCAGGGCGCTATCTATAAAATGTCAATGTTAAAATCGAGTGGGGTCAAGATCACAGTAAATGTATATATTGTCTCGTTATATTCTATATTTTATATTTGCTTGATAAATTTACATATTACAGTTCAATTACTGAATGCCACTGGAATAATTTAATTTAATCGTGCCAAGGACTGGATCATTTGGTTTGTGTAGTTTATTTATTTATTAAAGCTTTATTGTGATTAAGGAAAAGTTCGGTTCAACAGTAATCCAGTTTTTTATTTTTATTCCTGGCCATGCACAACTACGAAACTTGAAGAAACCATCCCGTTATATTTGTGGTTGGCAATTAACATAATTTTACACACTATTGTTGTGTTTGGAAAACGTCTTTGCAAAGGTCACGCCAAATAAGGCATGTCTTCACAATTTGACCTTTGGTTTGCATACTTCAAATTTTTATATCGAAACCCATTTAAAACTGGGACTTCATCCCCAGATCCATAGACTCGGCACATCCGTTTCATCCATGCAGACCACCCCAGTATCATCAGTCCAGAACAGACAGAATTGTCTGTTCACTTGCAGATGTAAAACCCATCAAATAGTTTGAATACCAAGATCGGTACGCCTAGACAAACAACACTTTTCTAGAGCCCATCCTCCATCCAAATTCATTCGACCAACCGTATAGTTAAACGTATCTCAGAAAAGACAATCGCGTCTTAATCGCACAGAGGTCATACAGAAAATCTTTCTTGGCACCAAGGACGTGTTGTTGTTTTAAAAATAATCTTCCAGACGTAAAGGGCCTGTGGAATGTCTAAAAGATTGGTCCAGTAATTAGTCCGAAAACGAAGATACAACTAAAGGGGTAGAGATTTTATCTTCAAATTGCGGTACAATACTATACAAATCGATAACCTCTAAAGATACATTTTTCAGCGAGCTTAGCTGGGTCATTTGGCTCCCGATACTGAAGTAAGCCACTCAATCCGTTCATTAACAAGATTTTTAGCATCGATTCACAGACTGATAATAAACTTGAGCTCCAGTAGATAAAATGAATAGAATCTTTGTGTGAACTATGGTTATGTACCATAATGTTACTAACCACTAGTCACTAGTACCATTTTACAGATTGTCCTCTTTAAATATCAACCGGGAGTACAAAATCGCCTTGTTAACACGAAAGCCGTTATAATCGATGATAACAATTGAAAATGGGGGCTAAAATGTATATTTCAATTTACAATATTGTCAAATAAACTCCAAGCAAATCACCCAATTCAATTTCAACTTACATGTTCAGCGAAAACGACCAATGCTCTAAATTGTGGAGCTATATCAAACATAAAGCCCGTGTTATTCCAAAATGTAGTGATTGGTCCTTCATTTCCAGTATAGAATAATATTGGTCCTCTGTCTACAATATCAAACCATTGATCTAAAAATTAAAAAAGAAACAAAATTATAGTTCTTAATGAGAGACATTGAGGAAAACAGTGACGTGGTTGGACGGTCGCAACAAAGGGGTGGGGGGCGCAGGGAGCAAGGTTTTGTAACGGAGTGCCAAACCAAACGAACGTTTGTCTGATAGTTGTGAATAAAACCAGTTTGGGTATGGGAAACGTTTTATGTCCCTTGGCACGCTAATATGTATACGGAACCTCGGTTTTCTGTTCAATACGAATTACTAGATGTTGCAGCTTGCCAGAACCTCTGTCCAACACCACTGACAAGGAGAAGCCAGTCTGAAAAATCCCATTGAACCTTCTCGACCAACACTAGAATGATAAATATTTGGATCTTTATTCCGAGGGGCGAAAAGGTACGAAATATGAGTCGCCAGTAGCCTCTTATCATTCAGACGTTAAGGTTGGGGGTGGAGGGGTCTGGGTGTCCGAGACTATTGTCACTGCTGAAACAACCCCGCCCTAACATTAAACATTTTCACGAATTTATCATCGAATGGGTGTTTATGGATGTGGCATAATTCCTTACAAAGATTCTATAAATTTGGGTAATAACGGACATCTGACTTCCGTAGTGACGACATCAGCAAAATATTTAGAAATAAAACAAGCAAAGTTTCATATAAACATAGCCTACCTTGCAATAAATATCTTTGTTTAAATTTCTTTTCGCCATAAGAGAGAGGGTTAAAATGGTCAATTGTTTGTTCGAAATACAATTCTTTATAAGATACGTTTGACAAGACTGAACTGTATGCCAAACATACTAACAATATTTGACCCAACTTTATCATGACAACCTCCTTCTACTATTACACATAAACAATTGTCATTTGGTTATCATCACATGACGTTCTCCATAATACATAAGATGTGTGTTTGTTTTGAATTGATCTGGTTTCATATCAGTAACAGTTGTGATACCGATCTTTCTTTGGTGAAATCTCGCTCGAACTCATCCATATGTCTAATCAAAATTCACGTAGCGGATGACGTATATATATAAATTGAATTGAAATTTAAAGGCATGTAATAAAACCAGCAGCTGCCAGGCAGGATACGCCCATATTTTGCCCGAGATGGATAGAGAACAAGCTAAACAAAAAGCGATTTTTCATCGATCAGGGGCCATAATTCAGGAAGTTACGATCCGATATGCGCAAATATCAAACGGCACCAAGATCTTTGGGTTATAAACTTACATTTCAAGTTTCATCAAAATTAGAAGAAAATTGTCACCTCTAGAGGGTCCACAACCTTGATATACCATATTTTTACGCTATTTGAGTACGAGGGGCGTCTATTTTGTTTGTCAGTGTTGGCCCGATTTTTACAAAATTCCAACTCAACCATCCTTAGGGTGCATAACGGTGATATATTCAAAAAGGTTTTTTTTAAATCGCATAACAATTATGACTTCTATAGTGTCCACAAGCTAAAAACGCGATTTTTCGTACAATCAGGGGCCATAATTCAGGAAGTTACGATCCGATATGCGCGAATATCGACAGGAACCGAAATCGTTTGGTTATAATAAACTTACATTTCAAGTTTCAACAAAATCGGATAAAAATTGTGACCTTTATAGGGTCCAGAAGGTAAAAACGTGATTTTTCGTACAATCAGGGGTCATAATCCATGAAGTTTCGGTCCGATACATGCCAATATCGAAAGAAACCGAGTGTGCGGCGAAATTTTGAACGACACACTAAGAAAATGTGAAAAAATACGTGATCCCAATTGAGTATCCACTAACAAGTTCATAGCTGTGTTTTTTCTTCATTTAGTTTGAGTTATTCTAATTGTCTATGACTAGTCTGTGTCTACGGTTTTATATGTCGTCTGACTTACCATGTTTTTATTATGCAAAATTCAGATATTTTTATATATATTTAGCCATGTGTGCCGCTATCTTTTCATGTGTTCCAAGGTGTGCCGTTGGCAAAAAAAGGTTGAGAACCACTGACATAGACAGTACCGATATGGTTACTTGTATAGGCATTTTTTTTTTATTTCAATATGCTTACATTCATATTTCATGTCATGTTCCTGAAGCAACGATCGCGAGTTTTACAACATCTAAGATGTATGTAGTTAAGGCGAGATTAAGCCTTCTATTAAAGATGATTTCATGTGGCATATAGCAGATCATGATACAATGTTTTTCTCTGGTTTATATTCCTGATTGCATGTCTTTCAATTTTGAGTGAAGTCTTTATCACTATAGGCCCGGGATTGTTCAGCGCAGTGGACGCTTACGGCTAGCCCCCGGATCCATTCACCTATTCTGCGTATTGTGTCTTGTCCGTAGTTTTGTTTTGTGTAATTATGTGTGGTGTAGTTCCCCTGCACTTACTATTAGGGCGTCAAGTAAAGGCGCTGGACCCACCTGTGCAGATTATGGTACTGTTGGAGGCAGTTATCCATCGAGAATGGCAGCAGTTGCCCATTCAGCAATCAGACGACATACTGGAAGGATGAGATGTAGGGTGGAATCTGTCATTCACGCACGTGGCAGGTTTTCCCTGATGAATTGTGTCACCAGTGTCATCTGTGGACTTTCAATGACATCACGGTGTTGAAATGTGTTCGGAATATGCATCCCCCCCCCCCCCCAAACTTCTTGTGTCTCAGCGGGGATTGGCTCAAATACGGCATCTTGGAATTATTTTCAAAACTGATTGCACTCTTTATGCTTTATTACTCTCAAAGACGTATGCATGTGTACATGATTCGTTGTTTTGAAATAAATTGCACCATGTGTTGATCCCAAAGTGATGTTTGTGTTGAAAGAGGCTGCGACCCCCCCCCCCCCCCTCGCTCATTCTCTCTTAAAGAAACATTATGTAAGATTAAGATAAAGAGCTGGTGGTTCTTGCTATAATAGTTCAAAAATAGATTATGCAAAATGAATTGAAAATTTCATTCAAGTGGCTTTATTCTGAGAGAAGATATTAGCCTATGTAGGTTTGACAAGACGTGTGCACTGATTGCAACCACAGCATTGGTGGTTCGAGGCTTAGCCTCACTTCATCATTTTTAAATTAAATCATTAAATAGCCGAACCGTTCTAATCTACTTAAAATTGGGCCCATTCGATGGCATCAAGAGTTATTATGTTCTCGTCATGTTAATGTCTATAGTTTATATAACATTTAAGGCCTAAAGAAATCCCTGCAATAGGCAGATTTAGCTCTGGCATAATGCCTGTTTAACAAAATATCTCATTATATCAGGATATCCAATTAACGTACTTCAGTTCCTTTGGTCTTAGTAATGTTCCTTTCACTTTTCAAAGGGTTATATGGGTTTCAATAACTATTAATGAATTTGGTATTTATAAATTGATAACTGTAAAAGATTGCCGGGAAGTTATAAGCATGTCTTCGGGTTTTATGGGTTTGGGGTAATAGCATTCAATTTCTATATTATCTATATAATGCCCACATTCGTGCATTTATTCGCCCGATATAGATATTCACTAGTAGGCTTCTTTAGTCTAGTCAAGGTATGTATGGATCAAAATAGATAGCCAACTGTTGCAGAAATGGTAGAATATGGTTATCATCTTCTAATCCTGTTCTTTCACAGTTCTTTCTGTCCCGATAGTGATGTACTGACCCAAGAGTTATCATGTTCAAAGGATGTAAAATAAAATTGATTATCTCTGCTTAGCTTCAGCGGAAAATGCTCAACATCGAACACAGTCAAGACATTCACCTAATGACAACCTACACCACGTCTGGGTTATTGTGTTCTATAATAAAGTGTGACAAACAAACAAAAAAAGAACCAATATCAAAAGTCCCGTGCTTTCTCCAGTAAATCTTAATAAGCATTTTGAAATGGTTGATAACATGTAACAAAAAGATTAATTTATTCAACAAATATACAATAATACAGTATATAACATATTTTTTTTAGTTATTTTTATTTCTTAAAAAGGCTGTATTAATCCAGAGTCTAATGTTGTATTTTTCAAGTTCTCTTGCTTTAAATACATCAGGAGGATCGTTCACATTATGGCCCCTAAAAAGTAAAACAAGACTAATGGATGTCAACATAACTTAAACTTAATGACAGATCAAGTGACAACATTTTTCCCTACCATTTCGGGACTAACACATGGTTTAATTTTATTTCAATAATTCGCTTGTGCGTAGGGGTCTTTAGCAGTGGGAGGAAACCGGATTTCCCTTTTAGCAAAGAAACCTGACAAGCCTTATCTCCACATTAAGTGGGATTTATGGTTAGCTTCTATTATGTGCAGATGTACTGAACTGAGTTAATCGTATAGTAGATAAGTCTGTCACAATAGCTCACTGCTCAGAAAATTATTTATATGATATGACATCCAAAATGTTTTACATATTTATTACATACCTTAAATCCAAATGATGTCCTCCATCAGGAATAATGACACTTGTCAAATTAGCAGATAAATTATGCAAAACCTAAAAAAGACAAGTGTATCAATTTTAGATATTGTTCATATAGATATTATTGAAGAGGCCTCGAAACTGTTACAATTACAGCAACAAGCATCTTAATCACGCTAACTTGAATCAACTTGAGAATGCAGTGTAGGTATCACTAACACTCTATCTCAGTGTGGTGAAAATCTACCAACATATACATATAGATATAATAGCTAGTACTGGGGCCAATGGACAAAGTCTGTATTAGGTGTGTTAAAAGAAAGGGTGTAAAACTAATTGAAAGACATGTTAATCATCAATTGGGTTAAAAGTTTTGAACAGTATATTTCAAACATAATAAATTTCAATCATTCATATTTGACATAAATCAATAAATAAATAAATAAAAATTTGTATTTCACCGAGTCGTTTTGTAAGTTTAATAGATGTGTAAACAATTTTAAAATATTGGTGTTGACACCTGGAGATAGCTCAGCATTTCGAAAATATTTTTTTTCTTTTCTAAACAATATTTTTATTCATTAAATCTGAATTTGGATTAGGGAACAGGCTATGCCTATGTGTAACCCCTCTCTCTGATTTAGATACATGTACACATTATTAAAGTATATACATACATACATAATTACATAAATATAGATTATAGGATACATAATGGATAATATAGAGACTCTTATTTGTTGTTTTTTTATTTTGTTTTATAATAAATATTTTAGTGGAAATAAATGAATGGTATTATTGCGCTGGAGTGTGTAACTTTAGACAGTAGAGTAAAAAGTGTTCAGTGGTTTCAAGGTCGAGATCACAGTCACACCGAACATTGTCATAAATCTGCATAATGAACTTATGGTATCTTAATTAAATCACTATTATTGCAGGGCAGTTTACAATGGATAATTTGAAATTGTTAATTATTCACCATAGAAAAACAGTCTGTTAATTTGAAGGATTCTGTTTAGTTTTAAAATCTGAGACAGACATGGCCTCTTTTATTATATTATCTAAATTATTTCCCAATTTTATAGTAGAAGGTAAAAAGGAGTTTTTATAAATATTAGTTTTACATTTAATTTGCATAATATGGTCAGAATTAGGTAAGTCTTAAGGGTTGTTACAAGAGGTAACTGAGATGTTTGACCCTTTAAATAAATTCTGGTTGTATAAAGTTGGTCAGTAGCTATGAAATACCTGGGTCAAACTTGCACAGAATAACAACCCACACAATGATATTCATCCCTAGAAATAATTCATACCTTTCAATTATGGGTAATTTATAATTAACCTGATCTTAAGTTTTCCAACCAAGAGACTTTCTTCAGATCTCATCATTATATTTATGCAGGTTTGCATATCTAATTCATGCAAAAGTATGTGGTTTGTTTGGCACTTTTTATGGCTTTTTTCATTATACATGTTTTTACTAGAACATGAATTCTAGTAGAAATAGTGTTTATGTTTCAAAAATACTACATGAAATGAAATGGGGTTTAACCTCCTACTGTTCTACTCCGACTGGCCTAATGAGGACAGGCATACGCCATACAGTGTACTATGAGGGAAATTTTGTCCCTACAGCCTACTCTTATATCGAATTCCAACTGCCAAGGGATCTTTTACGTGCACACCAATGTGTACACAGGAACTCAGGCCACTCATCCTGCACCACTGACAAGGGGAAACCATACCAGAAAACCCTGATGAACTTTGTCAGCCAAAACCGTGATCAAACCCGCGAAGTCCAGCTAGCAAGCCAGCGTCTTACTCACTTAGCTACCGAGGCTCCCTCAAAATACTATAAATATGCTTTCGATTTTATGCTTACCCCAGCAAAAGCCCATGGATCTTTACCACCATTTGAAAAAACTATATTAGATGAGGAGAGTATGTCTGTAAATAAACAATCTTAATTACAACATATGAGCCTAATATAAAACTATATTAAAAATGAAACAAAATCGAGTTTAATGATCTACTTTTCAACAGGCATAATAGCAGTTATAAATATAATGAAACTACACACCCAAGTTTCTCCAGTCACACTCAATTAGAATCAAATAAGTCATTCTTGACCGATCAAATTGCTTATCAATCTGCTTAGCCTGAGCAGAAAATTGTCATCAGCATACTTAGTCAAGGCATTAATGTAATGAAACCCTACCTACACCCAAGTTCTACCATTCACACTCAATTAGAATCAAAGTTATCATGCTCCACCAATCAAATTGCAGATTAGTCTCCTTAACCCAAACAGAAAATGCTTATTATCATGGTTAGTCAAGGTATATAATGTAATGAAACTATACACTAAGTTCCATCACTCTCATTCACCAAATAAACACCTACACCAAGTTTAATCATTATAATTCAATTAAAAGCAGAGTTATTATGTTTCAAAAAATGTGACGAACAGGCATTCAGACAGACAAGCATACCCATTTAAATAGTTCCCTGCTTTCTTTGAAAAAGCGAGTTACAACAATACATACCTTGCCCCCATAAGCTTAAACCTGCCCATTGATCTCTAGGGACTATTCCCCATTTAGTTTTACAATAATCGACTCGCATTTGCGCAGTGTATGGTTTAGGTGGAAACATATCCTGCTGGCCATCAGTAGAAAATAACATTGGTACTTCTGAGCAAGCCTGTCAATACAAAAGTGCAGACACCCCATTTCTGTTACATCATTTAAAACAAAAGCTCATAAATCTTTTCACTTTCTATTTACTTTTTCTCAGTTATTCAAGGAACAAACATATAGTGTTTCCACACGGGTCTACATCATTTAAGATAGGCTATTCACCAAGTGTTGAATATCCTGCTTTATAAAATTATTGTATATAATCTGTGTTAATTTATCCAAAATATGCACACATTATACATGTATACAACAATATTGGATAATACACTATCCTGCACCTTCATTTGTACATATAAATATTAGTTAATGTGTATAGCATGCAGAAAAGTGGTTGCTTAAGGCTGCTTGGTCTAAAGAGTTTGACACTTTCCCTCGTCTTTCCTTTTAGTTGACTATCAGAAATATATGACCATGTGTTTCTTAAAAATATTTTTCAGGTTTTGAGAACTGTACATCAATTTTACACCCTACATTATACACTTACCAAAAGCATAATTAATACCCTTTCAAAAACTACCTACTAACATTTAGGGTGGATTAGATTAAGACAGGGACCAAGGCAAAACAAAATATCATCAACTAATTTTCAGGCACCGAAAGAGTAAAATATATTAGTCAGGACCTTCAGTTAGGGAATAAATATTAGAGTAATTCACTGCTGTTATTACCTGAATATCCCAAGCCAAGCTATCAGGACCCAAACCACATCCACTGGGATCAGCACATTCCACATACTCCTCCCAAATATCAAAACATGGCAGCTTACCATTAGTACCATTATAAAACAAAGCTTAAACAAATAGAATTGTTGGCTATGCTATAATAACGAATAATGTTGGCAGGTTAATTACAATCTAACCAATTGCTAGTGGACCTGCTGTTCAGGCGAAAACCATATACCAAACTTTATAAGCCAATAGTAGGCCTGTTAGTAACAATTTTTCGGAATATAAAATAAAATGTTTTAATCAATATAGCGTACAAATTTTCTCAGTTCAACACAATTTTTGGAACAACAAATTTTCTTATTGTATTCACCTATGGTATAGTCAACTGTTTGAAGAATATAAAGACTAGTATTACAGCACATGTTGTTTATTTATTTAGTTAAAATGATTGTCAGACATCCCATGTTAATTAATGGCGTGTCAATCTGTTAATTAAAGACGAAGCAATTTTCATTTCAGGTTGTGGACAGTTAAACGTAATTCTAAACCAGATATGAAAAAAAATAAAAGGGATGAATTTCTCCTTTAAGGAAGAAGTATAAATAAATAAGACATATCTACCTGTAATCTGAGCTAATCCAGTCACAGTGTCAGTTGCATTAACCATAAAGCCACATGACTTCTGTAAATATCAAATCCAGTTATTGAGTATATAAAATAATCAAATCATATCATTAATACAGTGAAAGATAGATTGCCAGAAAATGAAATATGATTCAACAGGAACAGCAGCTATGTGGTCTGTGCTCTACAAATGCTGTTTCAAATATATTGTTTTGTGGGTAATGGGTACATTTACAAGACATTTTAAAAACACTGAACAAAAGTAACAACCCATTTTGCCTAGTGCTAATATTTATCACATTTAATATACAAAACATGTAATGTTAATTAGATGATAACTGTAGCTGTTTGAGTTATTGGAAATCGCTTAACATAAACAATGTGTAAAAATTTCAAGTCAATCAAATAACTTTTTAACCTCTAGAGTGTACACACACAACTGTAAACTATGGACGGACTTATTAGAAATCACTTTATTTGAACAAATCAGAATCAGTACGACAATTGATCAGCCTATATAAAGTCACAAACCTGAATACATCTGTTCAGTCATACTGGACCAGATATAAGAAGATATGTTCATTAATGCTTTCATACTACTTACTACTCTTGGGGTTCTACGTCTTTTCATTTAATACATGTAGCTTGAGATCATTAATATCAACTTACATCAACGGGAAAAGCTGGTATCTCCGACTCAAAGTTGGTTGGATATGGATAATCAAACATGGCTAAAGATACAAAGGCATTTCTAATCCATCCAACCATGTGATTATAACCTGTTTCATTTAACTGGCTGCATAGCCTAAATTTTTCTGACAATGTTTTTAAACCTGAAATTCATGAAAATAGTCTATTTCCTTAATCAGCTGGCATGTTTATTAAATTAATAACTGGTAGACTTCCGTAAAATCTGTACTGTTAACAAAATGTTGTGGATGTTATATTTGAAAAAATAAAATTATAAATCTCTCATTCATTTTATTGTGTATTATAAATTTACATATTATCCAGTCCTTGGATTTGCTGGATATTTTCATAGAAAAAGGTTTGAACATAATATCTTATACCTGCCTGTCCACTACTTGCCATACTCTTCATAGTGGTGAAAGCTTTTCTTATATTAGCAGAACAAACTGGATTAGACTGTTTGAAATCCTGAAAATTAATATATAATATATAATAAATGCATTGGGGAAGAAATGGGGTTTAGTTGTTTCTATGGCTGGGCCTAATATTTATGAGAACATATTCTCCCGTGGCTGTTTGACTTGGTCTTTAGTACAAAGTACAAACAATAATACATACCCTACATGGATATTTCTATATTTATCATTATTATCATATTCCAAATAATTAGGTTCTTAATAATATATTTCTTTCATTTGCAGTTGCTGGTCTCTGTCCTACATTTATAAGAAAACACTTACCGCAGTTACCCTAACAAAGAACTGAGATGGATCAATTACATTAGACATCAGGTAAATCGGGGCACTAGCTGCTATAGCTCCATCTACTAGATTAGGATATTTAAATCTCATATATGCACTCAACATACCACCATAGCTGCAAATACAAAGACAAAAGATGTGTTAAGTTCAATAAACTTTAATCTGGTATGATGTGAATAATTAGATCCAAACAAAACGTCGTATACACCACAGATCATATCCCCATTACAATAATCAGCATTTTCTTACTTCTGTTCATGTTTTATAAATATAATGACTGGATGTCTCTAGCTTCAAACTGTTACTATTGATAGCTTAGTTTACATGTTTTCACTACACCATAGCAATCCCATTATTCACACCATATCATAATGATATCATATAGCAAGGTATGCAGTGAAATTCTAGTATCATAAACTAGGAAGTTAAAAAAACAAATTTTTTTATAGGCTGAAAAGTTGAAAAATAAAATGTGACATACCTGCCACCAAATGTAATCACTGCCGATTTTTTTGCTTTATAGGTTTGTTTAATTTTATTAATAAGAACTGCATAATCTGCCAAAGCTTGTTCTATGGTTAGTAGTCCAATATTGTTTCCTTTAAAACTATCATCTCCAAATGGCAAACTTTTGCCATAAAATCTCTATATCAAAAACAGAAGAATAAAATGAAGTTAAAATACAGAGGTAACAGAAAGAGATATTCATTGGACTGCTGTTGTATCATCCATAGGTAAGTTGTCTTCACACTATAGGCCTAGATAAAAGACATAGCTTTGACCATAGCTTTAAAGAGGAATTACCATTTCCCCCTAATGTCTTTAGAATGAATGAAAAGATAACTCTGCAAAACTTGCTGAAACTCAAGTTCTGCCTTAATATACATAGTGGAGCGGCTTGGTTACATTTTTTTTCAGAATTGATACTTGGTGGCAGAAAGGCTCATATTTTGTACATAGGAGGCCTATAGTATCCTAAACATAAAATGATCAGGAGGCAGGCCTAATTTCATTTAGTTAAAATTTTACAGGCAAATGAATTTTTCAACCATATTAGATCAAGGCAACCCTTTCTCAGACGACACAAATGACCTTCTGACATTGGATACAAGGGTGATTTTGAGTGAGGATGTTGCTGACAATGTGCGTAAAGCAGAAGCAGCTGGAAGGAAGCAACATAAAACATTTGTAGAAGAATGGTTGACAGAATCCTCCTCAAAGTTTTATGACAACATCCCAAAGAACAATTTCACCTTACTTGACAGTGGCATTAGGAAGTCATCTTCTAAAAAAAAACAGAAACAAGGTGTCAAACATGAGGAAAGATGTTCCACTCTTCCCTAGATTGTACGTTTCTTGCCAGAACAGAGATGGTGATATGGAAACATTCTTTCAGCATGAGAATCATGCTTGGCCACCATCACTAGCAGAAAACAATGAGATGAGAATAATTCATAGTAAGGCTGACATTCTCAATTCTCTGGAGCCTTTGGTCACAACTCGCACTGTTGAACCACCTGATGTACAAGTCAAAATCCTTGATGGAGCAGCCATAGTTCAGACACTGGATCCCGTGAGAATCAAGAAGGGGAACCTTGTACTTAACACATTTGATGATTTCTCCAAGAATGTCTTCATTCCATACATGCTGAACCAGTTAAGTACTGTTGATAGATTGGACATTGTATGGGATCGCTAACTACCAGATAGTTTGAAATCACACACCAGACTGATCCGTGGGGATGGCATGTCATTGAGGGTAGAGGGTAACACCCGATTACCATCTAATTGGAAATCATTCCTCAGGGTGAACTCTAACAAGACAAGTCTATTTCAGTTTTTAGCAGAAAATGTGTCAGGTGTTGATGTCCCAAATGGCAAAGTTCTCTGCACTACCCTTGAAGACAAGGTGCTCTGTAGTCAGACTGACGTATCTGATCTTGAACCTTGTAATCACGAAGAGGCAAATACAAGGATGCTTCTGCACTGTAAACATGCAGCCATAGGCGTACGGGGAAATTTTTGACTGGGGGGGGGGGGGGCGGTGGTGGTTGGTGCCCAAAAAATGTAGTTAGGTTCTTAGTATGTTACATAATAATAATAAATTCGCTGTTAAATTGGACACATTCAAGAACACACTATCTTTTTTTATACAACTTTTACAAAGTACAATTGTGTGCCCAAATTTTTCCCAGCATGCAGCTACCCAAGGCTTCAAGAACATTCTGGTGGTTGCAACGGATACAGATGTTGTTCTCCTCAGTATTGCTCTCGCCTCTTACCTTGACTGTCAGCTGTGGTTGAACTTTGGTCATGGAGCCCATAAACGGTACATTCCATCTCATCAGATTGCTGAAAAGCTTGGACTCAATATATCCAGGGGCCTTCTCTTCTTCCATGCCTTTACAGGCTGTGACACAGTCTCAACTTTCTCTGGAATTGGGAAGACTACAGCATGGAATGTCTGGATGTCAATGAAAGAAATCATCACTCCAATTTTCACTCAACTGTCGATGCCAGCACAGATTGGTGAGGCAGTAATGTGTCAGCTAGAGTGATTTACTGTGGCCAAGTACAAACACACTTTGCCCATACTCACTGTGAATGAGGCACGCATGAGTCTGTTCACCCAAGGTGATAGGAATATTGAAAACATTCCACCAACTCAGGACGCATTGATCCAGCATGCCAAAAGAGCAGCCTCCCAGAGTGGCCACATATGGGGACAAACTCTCGACAAACACCCAGTCATTCCTTGCCCATCGGAATGGGGTTGGACTCGGGAAGAGACATCATGGGTTCCTAAATACTGATTAAATGTGGATGCAAGACCAACTGCAGTGGGCATTGTAGATGTTGCAAAGCAGGTCTTCGGTGCACACACCTGTGTTCCTGTTCTGGAGAATGTGCACAGTAAAATCAAGCACTTGTGATGAGTAACATCACTTATTTACTTCCTCAGTGCCTAATAATAATCCCTAAATTAATAATTTTCATAATTGGTCTTCATTAGGTGTCTTAGGCCTTATTAAAAAAAATTAAAAATAGATTTACGTAAAAATCACAATATTTGCATTTTTGTCCCAAAAAAAGCAGGATGCACTTTCAGGAAGTGTTGCCTCCTGCTTGTTTTAGGATAAGTAGGTGTTAGGCTATGTTTGTGCCAAATTTCAGCCTTTCTGCCAGATGTGAACAATTTTTAAAAATTTATTTACGTGAAAAACACAATTTTTGCATTTTTGTCCCAAAAAAGCAGGATGCACTTTGAGGAACTGTTGCCTCCTGCTTGTTTTATGATTAGTAGGTGTTAGGCTATGTTTGTGCCAAATTTCAGCCTTTCTGCCAGATGTGAACAATTTTTAAAAATTTATTTACGTGAAAAACACAATTTTTGCATTTTTGTCCCAAAAAAGCAGGAAATTTATGTTCACCAAGTCGCTCCACTAACAACCTCATCCTGTTTCAAAATATTCAATCAAAACCTCTGTGGTATATTATGTTCATAAAATTTCATAATCAGATGACCTAATAAACAATGCCTGCAAAATTGAAAAGATCTGTCAAGGACTTGTAAAACATTCTCAAAAAATTATGGTGGAATGACAGACACAGGTGAAAACAATAAACATCCACATTAAATATGGACATAATAAAAAAAGAACCTGCATAACTGTCTCTATTGTGAAAAACCCTGTGATGTCCTATACTCACATGTTCAGCAAAAACGACTAATGCCCCAAACTGCGGAGCTATATCAAAAACAAAGCCAGTGTTATTCCAGAAACCAGTGATTGGCCCTTCATTTCCAGTATAGAAAAATATTGGTCCTTTATTTACAGCATCGAACCATTTATCTAATAAAGAAAAAAATACAAATATAGCAATGCCATTGTCAGTAACAATTTACTAATACTACTAATATAAATACAATTTAATGACCTGATCCCAAAGGCAAAACAGTTCATGGTAACTGTGAGATATTGTTGAAAACGCAAATATGTCTAGCCTACCATCTTTGGAAATTCTTGAAATCCTGCACCAATATTCTCCTAGCACTACTAAACACATAAAGGTAAAGGTGGTCAACCATTCATTTGAAATTAACATAAAAGGCACAAAGTAATCCTTGTGAATACAAATGTGAAATTTCATTAATTAAAAAGCAACACTTGCTAGTGGTGTAGAGCTAAAAACAAAAATCTGTGAACAAAATGAGAAAAACAAGAGCATCGCTACCGCTGCAATATACGTCCACATTCCTGCTTTGATTGATATAGTACTTTTTAAAAGTTGTAGGGGATATTAAAATGCAAAAACCTATGCAGGTTGTGATATGATAAATAGTCATGGGCACTTGACATGCTTTGAGAGTATGTTCACATGAAGAACTTATCACCCCAACAGAACCACTGAGCTGCACGTGTGACACGCAATAGCGCCATACACGTGGGAGGGTTCATTGTCAAATTTGACACTTCAAGGAAGGGTTGATGAAAACTGCTGCCTGCTGGTTTATCCTATCCATGTTTGCTTTCCTATCGGTTCTTGCATAAGATTTACTTTTTAGCGTATCTTTGCTTTAGTGTGTTACGTTTAATTTGCAATGAGACGCCTTCAACATGATGAACGTCTACGAGCTATTGGCATGCTTCAAATGGGTTCTACACAGCGAGCAGTAGCCAACATGCTTAATGTGTTACAGTCTGTGATAAGCAGACTGTGGAACCGGTACCAACAAACACACAATGTTGACGATAGACCTCGTTCAGGTCATCCTAGAGCCACTACACAAGCCCAGTATCGATACATTCGTACACAGGTCCTGCGAAATCAAGGACAAACGGCCAATCAGCTTTCTGTAAACTTGTACCAAGTTACAGGAATTCGAGTTACACTCGAAACGATTAGAAATCGGCTACATGCAACCCATTTGCATGAGCGGCGACCGCGTGCTGTGCCTCCATTAACTCGCCAGCACATGGCAAACAGGCGTCAATGGTGTAGGCAGCGTAGAAATTGGGGTAATCGTTGATGGGCGCGTGTAATGTTCTCAGATGAGCCCAGATTTACTCTGGATTTCACCGATAGGCGTGGTCGCATTTGGAGGTGTGTAAATGAGCGTCATGCTAATGCTAACGTCAGACAGCACGACAGATTCGGGCGTAGGTCTGTTATGGTATGGGTAGGAATCACCATGACTGACAGAACGGACTTGCATATTGTTGAAGGAAGGGTCACTGGTGTGTACTGCCGTGACCACATCCTGGCACCGATAGTTCTGCCCTTTGCTCAACGTTTCATCTTTCAAGATGATAATGTCCGTGCCCACCGAGCTCATGTCGTGAATGACTACCTCCAGTGTCACCATATTGTCCATAGGCCTTGGCCAGCCATGAGTCCTGACCTTTCCCCTATAGAGCATGTCTGGGACATGATCGGGAGACGTGTTCGTCAACGTCAACACTGCAAGAATTGGCCGTGGCACTGCAAGAGGAGTGGGTCAGATTGCCCTAAATCGTGATTAGGAGCATGCCACAACGAATTGCTGAATGTCTGAGGATTGGTGGAGCAATTACTCATTATTAAGACAAAAATCAAAAACGTCAATTTTCACTTTTGACAGTGTATCTCTTTGCGAGTGAAATGGGGCCGTCAGATAAGCTGCCCATATGAATTGTTTATGTTCATGTGTAGGCAATTGGCCTGTTATTAACATACACTGGTTAACTCTAATAAAAACAGCAGTGCATTTCCTCAGTTTTGTATTGTTTCTGAATATCCCCTACTTTTTTTTGAAGAGTATATACATGTAATAAAGTTTGATGCGTTAAATTTATTTTTAAATTTGACATTGCAATCACATTCCATTGTAGATTTTAGAAAATCTTAATACAATTTCTATGAATTCCTCAAATGATAGATTGATAGATTGATAAATAACACTGAGTCATTTGTTCAGTTTAACTTTATAGCCCTGCATATTGCTAATATGTTATTTTCTATTAGTTATAATAAAGTTTACAATGTCCATACTACCACTATTCGATAACTACTATTGAAATCTATTGTTTTTGAAAAACATCTATACAAAAACGGGTGTTCCTGTAATGGATGCGTACCATCATAATTTATCATAAATTATAGTCATACTATTTTCATGCGTTACAATATAATATTTCGACAAACATTTTCCTAATAATGACAACTAAGATTTTAATAAAGTATAGTGGTGTTTTTAAGGGGTCATTATTTTCGAGCGACGTGAGTAATTCGTGATTTTTGGCAGTGAAGGTTATTCCAGAAGTTAAAAACTCATGCTTTTTGGCTAATGTTGGTATTCCATATTTCATATGTGTGCAGTTAAGTTTTTCACATAGCCAATACCGATATATAGTAAGACACTTGGCTAAGTGGAAAAATTAAGTATTTTTACTTAACTTTAAGAAAACCTTTGAATATGGACTCTGTTTGTGTCATACATAATAATATGTTCATTTGTAAATGTTATCTTTTTATTTTATATTAAGTCAACAATATATATATCAATTTTACAGTTATAGTTTATTCCTATATAAATAAAGTCATGGTATATTTTTAAATGTAACTACTGCTACTTTCGACTTATAGCCTACACTAAAGCTCCAATTAGGCAGTCTTTATAAATCAGGGAAACATCCCTACCACTTTCGTAATCCTCTGTGAGTGTGAAACAAGATTGATCCCTACCTTGCAACAAATATCTTTGTTTAAATGTCTGCTGACCATAAGAAACAAAGTTAAAATGATCAATTGTTTGATCAAAATATTGCTCTTTATAGGGTACATCTGATTGCACACAACTGAATGTCAGTCCTATTAACAAAATGTGACTAATTGATTTCATCACAACAAACTTCATGTTATCTGCATACACACATAATTCCATCGATGACGATAAACAAAGGTCATATGATTATCACGTGATTCCCTGTGGTCACTTTTCTTGATCACCCAGTCCCTATTTTCGCTGTCGATTTTTTTCTATGACCAAAATTATAGATCGACTGCAACCATGGGATAATTTTGAAAAGAATAACCAACACAACTAATTTTTTTTTTTATGCTATCGATGTTGGATTACGTTGTCTTCAGAGATAAAAATACGCACCATCTATTGAGAACTTAATTATTTGCCGTATGATTAGGGGAGACCGGGGCATATTGAACATATGGGCACATTGAACCACCATGGATATATCCTTTATAAATAATACTAGGCAACCCAAGACTACACAGAAGTGAGATAACTTCTTAGACCTATTTCCCCGTCAATAAATAGTAGCAACATGCTTTCAATTATTTTTTAGGCAATGATTTTTTTCAAAAGAGCTCTTAAAAGTGAAAATGCACTACTTCCACTTATCATTTTCCATACATGTTAACTGTTTAGTCTAGGAAATTCTTGTACTTAAATTCAGTTCATATATGTCTAATCTACAATCCAGATAAACAGGGGCTTGATTCATAAGAATTAAGAGGGCATATTGAATTTTTTTAAAATTTTGATCATGAAACTGTGATGGGGCAGATTGAACCACTGTCAATGGGGTACTTTGAACCATGGTTCAATGTACCCCAGTGCATTATAGACTATATATCATTTGATAATTTGTTCAGCCTAGGAAATTCTTGTAGTTACAATCAGTTCATAACTACAATCCAGATAAACAAGGGCTTGATCCATTTTGTATTTTTTTAAATTTTGATCATAAAACTGTGATGTGGCAGATTGAATTGAACCACTGTCAATGGGGTACGTTGAACCACTGGTTCAATGTACCCCAGTGCATCATAGTTATATCGTTTGATAATTTGTAATGTCTTTGAAAATAAAAACAATATTAGAATATCAATTGATCCAACTCTGTAGGCCTGTCATATAAAAGGAATAAAAACTCCATGGGAGCAGTGTTCGAAACTTGGCTGTGACATTCATGGGCGCAATGGGTCTCCCTGACTAAGAGTCGCTTGTCCGCAAATCAGGCCATCCAAATTTAGACAGAATATTCGACAAATTTTGGTTTGATTCACTGCAAAAGTTGACTGGGATCCCACTATCCCACCAAACTGCCAACTTAAGTGCAATTTACGGCGATTTGTAGGAGCCTAGGAAATCCTGACTCCTGCTTGTTTCGATCATTGCACGGATGTCAAATCTGTGGATATTTGTTCTTAACTAAACATTGATTGTTTGCATATTCATTAGATCACTACGAAACAAGTGACTAGGTTTGTGATCCAAATTCCGATCTATGTTTAACATGGAATTTTTACCACTGTTCAATGTGCCCCATTATGTGGTTAAACCTGCCCCGACTATTTTGTACAACGGGGAACATTGAGAGAAGAGAGAGAGAGCTAGAGGGAGAGAGCTAGGGTTTAACGTCCACTCGACACAAACTAGGTCATTTCGAGACTTTAGCAGTGGGAGGAAGCCGGCATGCAGGGCCCGGAGAAAACCAACGAGGTTGAACAGGCGAGATTAATTAATAACGTATGACCTGCTTGTTTCGATCATTGCACGGATGTCAAATCTGTGGATATTTGTTCTTAACTAAACATTGATTGTTTGCATATTCATTAGATCACTACGAAACAAGTGACTAGGTTTGTGATCCAAATTCCGATCTATGTTTAACATGGAATTTTTACCACTGTTCAATGTGCCCCATTATGTGGTTAAACCTGCCCCGACTATTTTGTACAACGGGGAACATTGAGAGAAGAGAGAGAGAGCTAGAGGGAGAGAGCTAGGGTTTAACGTCCACTCGACACAAACTAGGTCATTTCGGGACTTTAGCAGTGGGAGGAAGCCGGCATGCAGGGCACGGAGAAAACCAACGAGGTTGAACAGGCGAGATTAATTAATAACGTATGACCGAGATTATGAGTTATTATTCATTAGTCCTACCACTTTATGGTAATTTTAATGGGGAAAAATCATTTCTAAATTTTCGACATACAAAGCAGTGGGGTCGAGATTTTTATAAGATTTTTGCCTGCAATGACATTAAATATTTTTATCTATACCAACATTAAGATATTGTTTAATATGGGCCAACTTATATCTTGTTTCTTAATCAGTTATATACTTAAAGATGTAGTTAAAAATCGTTTTAAAAAATAAAATGCTTATAGATCTAGTTAAAAATCGTTTTTGTTCTACCTGAACATGGCTCAATTTCAATATCTGTACGAAAAATCACGTTTTTAGCTTGTGGACCCTACAGATCAAGGCATGGACCTTATAATACATTATAATGTATTATAAGGTCCATGATCAAGGTCACAATTTTTAACCCAAAGATTGTCCCCTGATTGTACGAAAAATCACGTTTTTAGCTTGTGGACCCTATAGAGGTCATAATTTTTATCCGATTTAAAACACCGTTTGAATATATCACCGTTACCAGGATGGTTGAGTTCCTTTCGATATTCGCACATATCGGACCGTAACTTCCTGAATTATGGCCCCTGATTGTACAAAAAATCGCGTTTTTAGCTTCAGGTCCCTCTAGAAATCACAATTATTATCCTATTTATACAAACGTTCAAATATATCACCGTTACACCGTAATTTTGGCTGAGTTTGAATTTCGTGAAAATCGGACTAAAACTGCCGGACGCGAATAGTATAACATCTGGTATATCAAAGTTGTGGTCCCTCTAGAGGTCACAATTTTGATCCGATTTTGAAGAAACTTGAAATACATGTTTATAACTCAATCAATTTTAAGTCTTCAGTTGAATCTTTCTTTGCTCTCTAACTTGATCAATGTTCATTGGGTTTTTTGATGCGTGGTCTTGTCAGTGCTGTAGGACGGAGAGCCTGACAAGGGACAACGTATAGTTGTTCGAATAGGATTTAAAAAAAACGAGGTCCCGTGTCCGGAATCGAAATGAAGTTGGATCTACGGTGGCTCAGTGAGTAGGTGTTTGCTCTCTAACTTCATCAATTAAGTTCATGGTGATTTTTCTGGCGATGTTCACCCTTGTCAGTGGTGTAGTACAGAGAGCCTGACAAGGGACACCGTATAGTCATTCGGATGGAATAGAAATAACCGAGATCCCGTGTCCGGAATTTAATTGGAGTGAGAGCTACGGTGGCTCATCAAAATTCTCCGGGGTTTTTTCGGTCGGGGTTCCTGCTTGTAAGTGGTATAGGGCAGAAGGCCTGTTAAGGGACAACGTATAGTCGTTCGAATGGTATAAATAAAAAATCGAGGATCCTTGTCCGGAATGAAAATGAAGTGGGGGCTTCACTGCTACAGTGGCTCTGTGAGTAGGACGTTTGCTCTCTAACTCCATCAAAGTGCATCGGGATTTTTCTAAAGATGTCCATCCTTGTAGGTTGTACCTAAACATATCAATAATATCCAAAAATAGGGTTAGGACAGGCTCACCGTACATACATATTCTTCACGAACTTTCTATTGCATTATCGAGTTATCGCACCTCGAAGTTTACAGCATCCAGATTCGAGGTGAAGTTCATGGTTTCAGTAAACAAAGCTACGTCCACGCTAAATCAAAAAACACCTAAAGGGTCTTTATAAGTAGGAGGAAACCGGAGAACCCGGGGAAACCCCACAGGGTTGGACAAGCGACCTACCCCTTGTCACGTACAAGCGGGGAATCGATACCGCGCCAGTTGATTCAATGACAGTCCTTATGATCAAATGCGAACATGTTAACCATTCGGCTACCAAAACCCATACTGTTCTTCTCTAACTGAGCTAATGATAGCGAATATACGCCATGCAGTGTGCTACGAGAGCCCACTCTTATTTTGAATTCCCACGGTAAAGTGTTCTTGTAAGTGGACGCCATGTGTGTGAAAGAGAGAAAGACTCGACACAAACCAGGTCATTCTGAGACTAACAATTTTATTTCAATGATTTGCTTGCGTTTAATGGTCTTTAGCAGTGGCGGAAATTCAGAGAACCTGGAGAAAACACACACGGTTGGACAGACGACCCTAATCATTGTCACGTTCAAGCGACGAAATGAAACCGAGCCACTTGAATCAATGACAGACCCCACCCATCTAAACGACTACACATTATCCATTGCCAGGCCCTCCGTCCTGAACAACAGACAAGGGTGGACATCTTTAGAAAAATCCTGATGCACTTGGATGGAGCCCTCGACTTTTCGATTCTGAAATGTCTGCAACAGGCTTCCATATAAAATGGAGGATACTACTCGTAAAATTTTTAACAGGCGGCGAACAAAAACTTCTTCAGTTGACAAGGAACTTGGGGTCCATATTGATGGTGAGAAAAAAGATCAAGAAACATCACTTCGGTTGTATCTTCACTTAATGTTAGACTGTGCATGCGGTGGGGGGGGGGCTCCTGCTTTGTAAAATTGTTAAAAAAGAAGCAGGGGCCAATACCGATGATGTTGCCAAGCGATAGGCCTACTCCCGCGAATTTGGTACTATTTGAGAGAGAGAAATCAGCATTTAGGGAGACATCACACATGTAACGTAGAGCGTTCACATTCCAAAGCAATGCCTTGAACAATTAGAAACAGAAGTGATATTGTAGTTTCTATGTTAAATTATGATATTGTGGGCCGGGGGTGACTTCTAGCAACTAATACAGGTTTTAAAATTTTATACCTTTTGTGACACGTTGGTCAACTTTCAAACTTAAAATCATTTTGTAGTACAAAAAAACACAAACTTTACCGTAGACCACAATCTTTTTGAGTATTTTGACTGGTTGTCCAATCGAAAATGGTATTGAGAGTTGCGCTAATTTGGAAACTCGGGTATACCTAGATCCATTCGAAGGTATAGCGAAATGGAAAACTTTTCTGCAAACCCCCTTCCGCTACCTCCCTATGCCACAGTGCTTTTGATTCCTTAAAATGCCCTGATTTACAGCATTTAAATCATTGTTTAAATGTTTCAGTGATAACCCAACAATAACAGAAAATGTTTTAAATCAAATTTCGCAAAACTGTAACCTGTAGGTATATTACATGGTGTTGGACGGCAGGTTGATCGAGGAACTGGAGCGGAACAATAAGATCTTGTTCTGTTTTTAAGAAATTAACCAATCAGTTGAGATAAAATATGTGAGATTTATAGTATGTATTTATATTTGCACAACTATTACTTACTGTTCCATATTAATATAATATGATTAAAGTTATAAAACAATCAGTGTTTAAGCCTCATTAAAAGAAATTTAAAGATAGATTGCCAGGTAACGAAACATATGCCCTTAGCAGCTTAATCGTCCGGCAAGACAAATGAAATGAAATGAAATGGAGTTTAACGTCCTACTGTTCTGTTCCTAACCTGGGCTAATGAAGACGGGCATACGCCATACAGTGTGCTATGAGGGAAATTTTGCTCGGACAGCGGCACTACGGCCTACTCTTATATCAAATTCCAACTGCCAAGGGATCTTTTACGTGCACGCCAATGTGTACACGGGACCTCGGTTTTTCGTCCCATCCGAATGACTAGACAGCTTTCCTTGTCAGCACCTCCGTCCTGCATCACTGACAAGGGAGAACCACGCCGGAAAATCTGGATGAACTTTCCCGGCCAATGCAGGGATCGAACACCCGACCTCCAGGCTAGCGAGCTAGCGCCTTACCCACTAAGTTAGTGATCCCCCCGGCAAGACAAGGGTTGCCACATATTCATGCTTTTATAAGTAATAGGAGCATTTACAAGACACTGATATCAATTTCATACAGATCACAAGGTTTTAACGTTTAACAAAGGCCATTAGTGTAGAAGTTATGAACAGAATTTTATACAAGAGGATTTATAGTTTTCCTAATCTCACCTATGCATTTAAATTTGATACAGATTGGATGATTACTTTTGTCATTAGATTGTTCACAAGGGGTTCAACAAAATGAAGCAAGGGCCATAACTTTAGAAGTAACGGAAATAGCTGAAATTCTATAAGGTTCTTCGCTTTACTAATCTAAATAATACATATAAATTTCATACAGATCGGATGATAGTGTTCACAAATTTCGACAAAGTGAAACAAGGGCCATAAATCTAGAAGTAATTAACAGAAATTGTTGAAATTCAATTGGCTTCTTCGTTTTATTGATCTTAGTTAACTAAGCAATGCATATAAATTTCAGACATATTGGATGATAATTTTTGTTTTGGATTGAGCATTCACAAGGTTAAACAAAGTCATTAATGGAAATTGTTGAAATTCAATAAGCTTCTTTGATTTAATGATCTAAATAATTGATATGAATTTCATACAGATCAGATGATAACTTTTGTCGATAGAGTGTTAAAAAGGTTCAAAAAATGAAACAAGGGCCATAACTCTAGACGTTATCGGAAATTCAATAAGCTTCTCCATTTTATTAATTTAAATGATGCATTTAATAAAGATCGGATGATAATTTAAGTCATTAGAGCATTCACTGGGTTTAATAAACTAAAACAAGGTCCATAACTCTACAAGTAATTAACATACATTGAGATTAAATAGGATTCTTGGCTCACTAATGTAAACAATATATATAAATTTGAAACTGATATAATAATAAATGTAGTCTGTAGAGTGTTCACAAGAAGTTGTGGACGGTGAACGGACAGGAGGTAACAGCATGATACCATGGACCGAATATACACGGTCCATGATAATACAACAACACTTCCATGTGTGCGTATAAAAAAAGGTTTAACGTCCTACTTTTTAAAGTTAACTGGCCCCAAAGCATCGACCAATAAAATTGCTTAGCTCTGTTTAGCTTTAGCTCGAAATGTTAATCATTGAACTCAGTCAAGACATTCACCTAATGAACATCAAAATCAAGTTTCAATATTCTACCTCAATTAAAAGCAGAGTTGTTAAGTTCCAAAGTCTTGACCAATCAAATTGCTTATCGATCCTTAGCCTAAGCAGAAAATTCGCATCATCAAACTTAATCAAGGTAATGATATAATGAATCTATACTCAGAGTTTCATCACTCTCACTTAATTAAAACCAAAATTATTGGCCCTAAAGCATCAACCAATCAGATTGCTTATCTCTGGTTGCCGCAGACAATGTTTATCATCAAACTCCATCAAGGCATTCACCTAATGAACGCCTACACCAAGTTTGAACATTCTACCTCAACTAGAGAAGAGTTGTTGTGTTTCAAAGTCTCGACCAATCAAATTGCTTATCGCTCTGCTTACCCTAAGCAGAAAATGCTTATTATCGAACTTAGTCCAGGTAATGATGTAAAAAAAAACTATATACCAAATTTCATCAATCTCACTTAATTAGAACTAAAGTTATCGTGTCCCAAAGCATCAACCAATCAAATTTCTTGTCTCTGCTTATTCTAAGCAGAAAATGCTCATCTTCGAACTCCATCCAGGCATTCACCTAATAAACACCTACACCAAGTTTGAACATTCTAGCTCAATTAGATGGAGAGTTATTGTGTTCCAAAGTCTCGACCAATCAAATTGCTTATCGCTCTGCTTACCCTGAGTAGAAAATGCCCATTATCGAACTTAGTCAAGGTAATGATATAATGAAACTATACACCAAGTTCCATCACTCTCACTTAATTAGAACTAAAGTTATCGTGTCCCAAAGCATCAACCAATCAAATTGCTTATCTCTGCTTACCCTAAGCAAAAAATGCTCATCTTCGAACTCCATCAAGGCATTGACCTAATAAACACCTACACTAAGTTTGAACATTCTAGCTCAATTAGAAAGAGTTATTGTGTCCCAAAAAGTGTGACGGACAGACAGACGGAGGGACAGACAGACGGCCGAACCCATTTTAATAGTATAGGGCAGACAGACATCAGAAGTATACATAAGTAATTTAATGTGTCACTGGTGACTGTAAGTGTAACTTTGTCTAACTGTTGTCGTTGAATAGTTATAATAATAATAAAATTTATCAGCAATGTAATTGAATGGTCTGCAGTAGGTATTTTAGAACTATGCTCGTCACCTTTTTTGTTCAAGGGGGGGGGGGGGACCTGCCCCTGACTAGCTACACTTGTGGTAACTGCATTAACACAGAACAGATTTAACTCTCTTCATATTGGAGTCATCTAATGCCATCGAGAGTGTCTAATGTCTAATTAATAATTTATATAACATTTAAGGCCGAAACAAAGATCTGCAATGGGCGGACATAGCTCTTGCATAAAATAATTATTTTAAATTATGCTGTTATCTATGACATGCGAAATCATTAAAGAAAGCACCCTGAACTTTGGGGGCGGTAAAAAAAGATAAGATCAATTTTATAGGAACCCTGCGTATTTTTTGAAAATATTACTTATGATTTGTTTTCAGAAAGATTTGATTTTGCTTATGTCAGCAATAATGTCGACTTGGGGCTCTAACTTTCAAATATTTCGATACATAAAACTTTAATTACTTTCATACAGAAATAATCTCTGCATAACTAAATAAGAAATGACACAAAAGTTGTATAATATAAGGTCAGCACTGTCAAACCTACACATAATTGAGTATTGTTATATGCTACATGTACCCAATTCCCTCGCCACTGGTTACAAATCTAGAGATACCCACCGCCCCCCCCCCCCTCCACCTACTGTGAAGAAAATAGTCAGAGGACAGACAGAAGTGATGACATATACCCCCCATTTTTTAAATATTGGGGGGGGGGATGGATGGTCGAATGGTTAGCATCTGCGCGCTGTATCATAAGGTCTGTCATTGAGTCAACTGCCGTGGTTTCGATTCCCGAGTTGTACTTGACAAGGAGTAGGATCGCCTGTCCAACATCGTGGGATTTCTCCGGGTCCTCAGGTTTCCTCCCACTGTCGAGTAGACGTTAAACCCCATTTTTCTCTCTCTCTTTTAAATATCAAAATAAAAAGTATTTAAAAGAAAGATATTATAATTTTTGAACCGTGCATCTGATTCAATTCAAGTCTGAATTGTGCATTTCAATGACCAAATTCTGCAATTCAGATAGGGCAGACTTCAGTACATAACCTGACAAATCCTAATTAAAACAAATTTTACTTCTATGTACCTATGAAGGGAGATCATATTCAACTCATACTCTTCTTTACCATAAACTTGCACAAAAATCAAATTACATGTACAATAAGTAAGCAACATCCAGTTCCAGAGTTCAAACTCAAATTAATGTTTGTTACACAATTACTATAAATGAAATAAGTCTATGAATTCATTTTTTCTTAAAAAGAAACACTGACGTTTTATATATAGTATGATATTATACACAATATACAATTTGGTATAAACAATTGACTTGATACAAATGGAATATTTCTCTGCTGCCTAATGAAAACGTGCCATTAGCCATCTAATGGTGGTCCTAGATAAATCATGGAAACTTCTGTATTGCCATAAACCGCTGAGGCTGCTGGGTATAAATGTGTGTCTGGTAAACCTCTAAATGCAACACCTGAAATATGAAAGACATACTTTAACTTTTCTTCTTTATCAATAATTGTTTCCAAAGTTCCAAGGTTTCAAATAAATCGAGAAAACAAGTGCCATATGTAAAAAAAAAATCTCCAAATATAGTGATAATTATGCCACTATATTTATATGACAATTCTTACTTACTTTTTCCGTTACCATTACTAAATAAACAGCCATATTATAAGTTTTATCCATTTAAAGTAGACTTGAAATACACTGAAACTGACACCACCCTACTCGCTCCCCACCCAGATATTTTTCAGTGCTATATGCCTACTGTATATACTTGCTCTTGATTTAAAATTAGTCACTCTACTGACCTTTTTCTGGCAGATTAACAGCCTGGATTATCAAGACTATTTATAGAGACATTTTGGAAAAATCACTGGATAGTGGCACATAAACTATTATTTTACTATTCTTATAAACTGTGTGAACCAGCCAAAATAAATAGATGACATTCACTAATTACTTGCTCATTTATCTTTCTGAATAGCATCGTGCAATCAAATTGCCTTATACCAGTGATTCTCAAACAGTGTGCCGCAAGATCTTCCTAAATGTGAGGTGAAATTTTGAACGGCACACTAAGAAAATGCGGAAAAACCATGTGATCCCACTTGAGTTTTCACTTGTGTCCACTAATAAGTTCATAGCTGTGTTTTTCTTTATTTAGTTTGAGTCATTCTATGTGTCTATGACTAGTCTCTATTTACGGTTGTATGCTGTCTGACTTACCATGTTTTTATTTTATAAAATTCAAATATTTTTCCTATATATTAAGCCAGTTGTGCTGCTATTTTTTTATGTGTTCCAAGGTGTGCTATTGGCGAAAAAAGGTTGAGAACCACTGCTTTATACCACAAAGTCTCTTCACTCTCACTCAATTAGAATCAGGGTTTTGTGTCCCAAAGTATTTACAAATTCAACTAATGAACACCTGCACCAATTTTGAACACTTTACCTACTAACATGTACTTAGTTGTAGTACAACCTACACTACATTTAGAAGCAGAGTGATTGTGATCCAAATTCTCAACTAATCACATCGCTTGTATCTACTTAGCCTAAATAGAAATCGCTCATCATTGAACTTTGTCAAAGTATTGATGCAGCATAATAAAACCCACACACCAATTTTCATCACTATTAGTATTACACAATTACAACTGTAGTGATCATATTCAAAAGTCTCAACCAATTAAATTACTTATCTTTAAGATACATTATGGGAGATTTTTTATAGAGAATTGGCCATTCTTGCTATAAGTTCAAAAGTAGATGATGAAAGAAGAATATATTGAAAATTTCAGTCAAATTACTTTATTCTGAACATAGTTATCATCGTTGTAATATTTGACTAGAAATGGTAGTGAAATGTGCCTTCACCTTGGCCGATCGTTTGATTGACTACATATCTCGATTATCAAGTAAAGTTTTCAATGGCACGTGGAAACGCTCTACAGCGGCCTCGCTAAGTACACTCTATCATTTAGCCTCGATCTAACTGAAATATTCTCATCAGGATGCGCCATATTTGAATTAATTAATAAGTGAAATCCTATTTAAATCCGAGCTGTAGCCGAGCCATCCGTGGGTCTACAGAGTTGATTTTGGGCTTGTTGTTTAAATAAAGATCTAATTTATATTTTCTATAACATCTGAAGCCTAAATTAAGACTTGCAATAATCAGATTTTACTCTTGCATAATGTATGTTTAATTGAGCGTACATGTAGAAGAGGATGCTCATCAAGTTTGAACATTCAACCTCAATTACACATGTAACCAGAATCAATGTGTCCCAAAAGAAATGAAATGGTGTTTAATGTCCTACTGTTCTGCTCCAAACTGGGCTAATGAGAGAGAGAGAGAGAGAGAAATGGGGTTTAACATCCAAACTCGACACAAATTAGGTCATTTCGGGACTAACACATGGTTCAATTTTTTTTCCACTAATTCGCTTGCGCGTAGGGGTCTTTAGCAGTGGGAGGAAACTGAAGGACCTGGAGAAAACCCATGGGGATGGACAGGAGCCTGGACTAATGAAGAAAGGCATATGCCATACAGTGCGCTATGAGGTAAATTTTATCGAATTTAAACTGCCATGGGATCTTTTAGGTGCACGCCAATGTTTACATGGGACCTCGTTTTTTTGTCCCATCCAAACGACTAGACAGCTATCCTTGTCATCCCGTCCGTCCCAAAAGGTGTGACCGACAGACAGACATAATACAGATGTATAAACCCATTCTAAAAGTCCCTGCGTTCTTAAAACGGCACACAACAGTACACAAACAATAATATTTTCTGTCAACAGTGTGATCATTGGATTTCTTAGGGCTTTATCATTTGATAGATGTAAAGAGAATTCCACATGCACAGCAGTTTCCACGCTAATACTAGCTGCCTGGAGCTGTTCAGAAGTTAAGTCAGGGGCGTAAAAATAATTTTGAATCCACTAGCCCAGGGCTAGTAGTCTACTGTCAGGCACTAGCCCGGCATTAATATTCACTAGTCCATAGTTGGACAAGGTACAAGATTTAATCTTCAATATTTGGGCATATGTTTTGTTGCCTGCCAACCTATCTTTTTTAATAAAGGTTGTAGACTTGATTGCCTAATAATTATAGATGTATACGGCTACTCGGTTAACCAGTTACGGTTCGGTTGCACTGGTGAAACGGTTCAAAAAACTACAAACCGATATTCGTTTTCATATCATATCTGACCTTCAAAACCAGGAATGGTAGCCACAACAATGTTTTCTTTCACTAAAGACCATATAAATACTTCATTAGCACATGTCATTTGTAATATATCACGGTAAATTAACGTCCTTTAATTCCTGCTCGAAGATTTGTATATGTTACGTTATTATTAGCACTTACTGCAAAGCACGAGATAGCCTCGACTGACTAAAAATTAATCGTTTTACCATATTTATTTACCTGGTCACTCTATAAAGAGTCACAAAATGAAACATGAAATGAAATGAAATGGGGTTTAACGTCCTACTGTTCTGCTCCTATACTGGGCTAATGAAGACGGACATACGCCATACAGTGCGCTATGAGGGAAACTTTGCCCGGGCAGCGGCACTATCGCCTCCTCTTATATCAAATTCCAACTGCCAGGGGATCTTTTACGTGCATTCTAATATATACAAGGGACCTCAGTTTTTCGTCTCATCCAAAGGACTAAACAGCTGTCCTTGTCAGGCCCTCAAATCAGTTTGATGTGCTGATATAACATTAAAATAGACAAGATAGTAAAACTGTTTATATTATCACTTGAGTGCCATGCTGTGCGCCGATAGGGCCAAAGTTGACAACACACGGGTCACTAGATCCATTCAATCTGATGAACAAATTCTTTTTAACTTGACATTCAATACACCAATCTTCATCAAAAAAATAGAATAAGCTTTTTGAACGAGACAGTAGATTTAGAGACACGATTCTTGCAAGAGCTCCTATTCAGGAGCAAGTGTTGACAAGACACTATAATGAGACTATAATCGACCAAAATAATTGATGCACTGATCAGATTTCACAATAAATTCAGATAATATTTTCACAATGTTTATTTCGTCCATTAGGGCATAGGTATACATGTATACCCCAGAAAAGGGCAGGGTACCATTTGTATTGTGACCTCTAGAGGGACCATAAGCTAAAAACGTGATTTTTTGTACATTCAAGGGCCATAATTCAGGAATATACAATCCGATACACGCGAATATCGAAAGGAACTAAGATCTTTGGGTTATAAACATGTATTTCAACTTTCATCAAAATCGGATCAAAATTGTGACCTCTAGAGAGTCCACAACCTTGATTTACCAAATGTTCACACTATTTGTGTACGAGGGTCGGCCATTTTGTCCAGCAGTTTTGGCCTGATTTTCACGAAATTCGACGTCAACAAACATTATGGTGTAACGGTGATATAATAGAACGTTTTTTTAAATCGAATAATAATTGTGACGTCTAGAGGGACCACAAGCTAAAAAAGCGATTTTTCGTACAACCAGAGGCCATAATTCAGGAAGTTACCAATCGATATGCCCGAATATTGAAATGAACTAAGATCTTTGGTTATAAACTTGCATTTCAAGTTTCAACAAAATCGGACCAAAATTGTGGCCTCTAGAGGGTCCACAATTTTGATATACCAGATGTTTACACTATTTGTGAACGAGGGGCGGCCATTTTGCCCCTCAGTTTCGTTCCGGTCTTTAGGGTGTAACGGTGATATATTCAATGTTTTTTGTAAAACAGTTAAAAATTGTGACCTCTATGTGGTCCGCAAGCTAAAAACGCGATTTTTTTGTACAATCAGGGGCCATGATTCAAGAAGTTATGGTCCGATATGCGCTAATATCGAAAGGAACTGAGATCTGTGGGTTATAAACATGCATTTCAAGTTTCATCAAAATCAGATGATAATTGTGACCTCCAGAGGGTCCACAACCCTGATACTCAATATTTTGACACTATTTGCGAACGAGGGGCAGCCATTTTGTCTGTCAGTTTCGGTCCGATTTTTACGAAATTTGAACTCAACCATTCTTAGGGTGTAACAGTGATATTTTCACACGTTTTTTTGAATCGGATAAAAATTGTGACCTCTATGTGGTCCACAAACTAAAGACGCGATTTTTTCGTACAATCAGGGGCCATAATTCAGGAAGGTTATGGTCCGATATGCGCGAATATTAACTGAGATCTGTTAATTACAAACAAACATTACAAGTTTAAACCAAATCGGATAAAAATTGTGACCTCTACAGTGTTCACAAACTAAAAATGTAATCCATGAAGTTACAGTCTGAGATCTTAGGGTGATAAAATTATATTTCAAGTTTCATTGAAATTGGAAAAAAATTGTGACCTGTAGAGTGTTCACAAACAAATGTGGACGGACATGAGCGACGACAATATACGTCCACATGAAAATGTAGGCGTATAAAAATGAGTATAAATAAATTGTTCAACTCGCCTAAAAATTCAAAATTTTTTTCAAATGCTAAGGATTTATCTTCACAGTCTAAAATAACTTTTATTTTTTCTCCTACCTGCAAAATGAAATGAAAAAAATATGATAGATTAAAATACACTAAATATTGATTTTGTTGAATGAGGTATACCAGGTAATTAAACATACAATTCTAATTCTAGCTATTCATGTTTATGAATATAATATTCATTCTATTAAAACTATTTTCTTATAAGATATTCATGCACTGATGGAAGACGGAAGTACATGTATGTGTGTGCTGGTTGACACAAACATAATCCTCTCACACAAAATCAAATTTGCCTCAACATGCAGCTTGTGCCATTCTTCCCCGCAAACACAACAGCAGTGGGGCATTTGAATGCAAACTCTTTTTGAAAAAAAAGAAGTCAAAAAGCTAATCAGTTGACCTACATGTACATGTATAATGTATAATAATTAAAGTTATAAGCTTTTACAAACAAATATTAATATTAGTTAACTTGTCTACATGTAAAAAAAAGACAGCTCAATACAGTTCAGTAATAACATGTACGGTCACATGATGATGGCCTACAGTTCTAATGTATTAGATCAGCACAAGTACATGGTTCATTCAAAATCATGTATTGCCCTTTTTGAACAAAAAATGAATGTTTTTGAAAATATGGGTCATCAGGTTTTTACAATCACCCACCTGTGTTCAAGAGATCATATTACAAGTATTACCCATCAACAAACAATGTCAGAAAATGTGTTTTTTGAAAGGTTTTTGTAACAGTAACAGCAATATTAGCGAAAACATATCTTTCAAGTGGCAAAAGTTTTCTTTGTATTTATTTAGGTGATTTGCTCGAACCGGGAATCTATGATTATAATGTACCTATTTAAGTCAAGCTGCATTGATTATCTATTACAACCAGATCTTTAAAATGCAGTCCTTGTGCTTTAGAGATACATTTTTCCGTTCACACTTAGGGTCTTGCAATGGTAGCGTACATGTAGAACTTATGAGACCATCTAATATAGGCAATGTCACTATCATTGATACAGTGTGTACATCTCACAGTCACAGGTGTGATCCTTCAATGCACCAGTACACATAGACATTAATACTAAGATACAACAAAAATTGGTAGTTTTGTGAATCTTATCAAAAAATATCAAGTGTTCTCTAAAGAGTAAGCATGTATGAACCAACATGTTTTAAGGCAAAATTAATGTTGGCTCATGCACACCGATTCACTACTTGTAGACATGGTGTGATAGTTTCGCATTTGGGCTCCAAAGCGGGTCCATAGATTTACTAAAAACAACTTTTATTACCCAAAACAACCTGTATTATTGTTCTTTCTTATTGTATGTATAGATGATTAATATTCTCTAAACTTACCTATTTTTTTAATGGTTCTGAAATAAGAGGAAGATCAAAGCAAGAAAGACAACTCTTATTGTTATCATAGTAGGTTTGAGATGAAATGTAAATAGAATTTTCTGATTTATAAAATAAATCATTATATTAATAAACAATTAAATTAAACAAAGATACAATTTACAAATCTGATATGACATTACTGAATTCTAAAACAAATATTATTGATTTTAACATACAAATGTTAATTTTAGTATAAAAACATTGAAATACGACTACAAATGAAGAAATAGGATTAGGAATTAAGGACTATGAATTAAGAACTAAAAATTAAGTAGGCCTACACTGAATAAAGAGCTTTTTGACCTGAACCTACTACATAACAATAAGAGTCGTCTTTCTTCCTATGATCTTCCATTTATTTCCGTTTTGTTTTTTCATAACTATTAAAAAAGAGTAAAGTTCAGGGAATATTAATCACCTATACATACAAAAAGAAAGAAAAAATCATAAGAATGTGTTGTTTTAATCAAAATACAAGTTGTTTTGAGTACCAGTATTTAAAGTTGTTTTGGGTAAATCTATGGAATACTCCAAAACTATCAATTAATAATATTAAAAAATTATGAAAAAAATCCTTAGGAAACATGTTATAAAATTTTGGAATCAAATTTTGCGGACAAGATGACATGTACCATACATAGGGCCTACAGAGTACAGGTAGACGATTTAACCAATATTCTAATTCTATACCAAAAATACAATGAAAAACCTGGTATTTTGGAGCATTGTTCAACTGGGGATAGTTGCCTTGACTATCACCATTATGAAACAAATGGTTATCCACTAAATTCCATCCCCAACTCTGGTCATCACAGCCAACTAATGGAACATAACCCTGACACTGTGTGGGAGTACCCTTTGCTGCAAGGCCTATCATAGCAACTGTTCCAAGGGGACCTTCCCACCACACTTCCCAACAATGTCTGCCCGATTTAAAACCAATCTTGCCCCTCGCTCCATCAGTACTTTGAGCAACAGGGTTCCTATGTATTGTAAAGCCATCTGGTTTTACATAAATGTTTCGTGAACAGTCATTTGGATTCCAAGAATGAAATAATGCCTTTAATTTCGCCTTGTACGTTGGTACACTACTTAAAATGTCCGATCTTAAAGCCTCTTCCGCTAATTTTCGCACACAGTGTAACCTCCAAACATCGTTATTCTCGTCATTTAAAAACCGATACCATGTCTTGCACACAAGTGAACAATTACGGAGCTCAGATATGTCTAAAAATGAAAATAATACTTCTAAGACATGCGGAGGTAATTTATTGGCAGCCATGACAGTTGTTACCGGTACCGGAAATGCGACCTGGTGCATAACCACAACGTACCGATGTCCACCGAAACATCATTTAATTAAGATGGTTTAACGCAGTTGCGTTTCACGCCGTACTTTTTATGCACAAATTGGGCTAATGAAAAGGACATACGACATGAAGTGTACCATAAAGGGAATTTTGCCCGAGCCTACTCTTCATTAAATTCTATTGAAGTCTTTTAACGTCACTTGACCTCGGTTTTTGTTCCACCCGGACAACTAGACCCTGTTCCCATCAGATCTTTACTTTTAGAGACACGAACAACCGACAAGGGAAAGCCATGATGAAAAATCCCGAATTAGAATTCAATATTATAAGTCCTTTTCAATCAATCCTAATAGGCTATCCCATTAAGACATTGTATAATCAGTAGGCTACACTCGTCGTGTATTCTAGGGTTTATAGCGCCCTTTATAATCAACAAACAAAAACATATCCTACAAGACAATCCAGCAGTAATTATAAATGGCTGATTTACAAACGCAAAAATAATAATAATTTTTAAAAAAAAACGTGTAGAATGGACTAAGCAGGCGGGCGTAAACGACTATCGTTCAATTTGGATTTCACCAAACATTTAATGATTAGATATTACAATATTTATTTTTAAAATAAGCATTTATATTACATTAGCATTTCCTTTTAGACCCATTTTCGTATATATTAAGCAGCCGACAGTCGCCAAGGTATCAGCTGTATAGGCTATGCCATAATGTTTTGTCATTGTGAAGACCCAGAAAGATAAAGCTTACGCAATTTATCAAAAATTTATTTTTACGGAGAAAAAGAACAATTAAAATATTTATTTCGGACAAATTTTAACTGTTAGTTAATGTGTTGTGTTGGATTTTCTCTGGATTTAAATCCGATTTGCTGCTCAACGCTCATTGATGATTTAATCCAAAAATGGATTGGGACTATGTTTTAGTGATGATGATCGAGTCTAGGCCTAAAATTCAAACATTAATATCTTGGTTCAGAGTAGAGCAATTTTCATGTATTATAGTGAGAACTGCCTATTATAGTGAAAACTGTCAGCTCTTTATCTCATCTTCCATAATGAATATAGATATAAAATTTATAATCATTTAGAATGTGATTTTACAACAGATCCATTGTGTCTGCAACCCTTTTCCTGTTTTAATTTACACTAAAATAACGTATCCTTAAGTTGTATAGGCTTATAATTCTGACCAACTCTTCACAATAATTTTCTTTTAATTCATGGAATACATTACTTTGGGTTTGAGGCGGTGACATCTGTCTCACCATAGGCTTGTTTACATTTTAAAAGCTATACTTATAATCATAATAAAATTGCTATACATTAGATAATAATAATAATAATAATGTACATTTATATAGCGCTAGTACCCCCTGCACAGAGGCATGCTCAAAGCGCATACAGTTAATTAATTTGATTAATCATGATAGGTTTTAAGACTTGATTTAAAACAAGAAAGAGTTGGAGATGATTTAATGATTTCTGGTAGGTTGCTCCACTGTTAGGTGCATTAACTGAGAACGATTTGTATCCGAATGATTTTAGCTTCCAGCTTGGGCAACGCAACTTTACTGATGAAATCTGTTTGATCGGACGGAGGTTTTGGTGCTAAATGAAGTGATTTCATAACAGGAGTTATATGAGAGTATTTTGATGACCTGGTAACAATTCGAGCTGTGGTATTTTGCACAAGTAATGTTTTTTAATATTGGCACTAGATGTTTCTGCTAACAAGCTGTTACAGTAGCCAATCCTTGAGAATACCAGATAACATACAAGTATGGCAGCTGCTTCCTGGCTAATCAAGTGTCTTATAACTACGGATAGATTATAAAATATCAACAACAAAAATTAATAAAAGAGAAGCATTACCAATGAGATTGTAGTTTCACAGCGTCACATTTTTGTTATAAAAAGGTAAGAAGAATTCGATCAAAGCTTCAGCAAATAGGACATGATGTTGTAATAAAACACGGTGTGCTGAACAAAGTAGGAGGGTCGGATAGCCGAATATGATTTAATGGACATAAACATAGTTTTAAGGACTGGAACTATTGGACACTGAAACTGTGTAATAAAATTTAAGACATTTAGATAAATAATCTAGCCTAGAGCAATCCAAAATGTTATTAAATATTTAAAAATGTCCTCCACATACTTTAAACACTCACAAAAGATTAGGATTTATTTTATATAAATCGGGGGGTTGGATGGCCGAATGGTTAGCATGTGCGCACTGTATTATAAGACCTGTCATTGAGTCAACTAGCGTGGTTTCGAATCCCCGGTTGTACGTGACAAGGAGTAGGGTCGCCTGTCCAACCTCGTGGGTTTTCTCCGGGTCCTCCGGTTTCCTCCCACTGCAAAAGACCCCTACGCACAAGCGAATTATTGAAATAAAATTAAACCATATGTTAGTCCCGAAATGACCTAGTTTGTGTCGAGTGGACGTTAAACCCCATTTCTTTCTTTCTTTCTTTTATATAAATCTTATTTCCGCAGTCAGTTTTGTCGTTAGATTTAGTTTCTGTGTCCAATATTGTCACTGTTGATTAAAACACTATGTTGATAGTTTACGATATTTAGTTGAAACATTAATGATCTAGCAAATAATTGTCATTTAATTCACTTCTTGATGGGAGTATAAATGAGAACGTAACCAGGAAATTGATGAATGTATAAATCAGGCCCGTAGCCAGCTTGCTAGCTTCGGAGGGGCAGTGAGGTTTTTAGGGGGGGGGGCACACCCGGCACAGTCTACAGTAGGTATTTTAGAGCTATGGTCGGCAAATTTTTTTTCGGGGTGGGGGGCCTTACCCCCCTCTGGCTACGGGCCTGGTATAAATACAGGCAGCGTGGATGTCCGGGAATCCCAATCTGAGAAACCGACGTTGATCTATGACCGGAAAACGCGTATTGCAAAATTTCTATGAGTTTTCATGAATTTCGCCGGAACATAGACACAGATAAAACTGAAGGATGCATTGTGCATAATAGCTCATGGGATATAAAATGTCGTATTGGTAAATGTTACCGGGGAAAAGTTTGGCAGGTTTCGGGGCGTCCAGCCATGAAACTATTCAATTGTTTTTTCAGACAACTATTATCATTATGTGTAACATTCGTTGTGAAACTAAATTGGAGAGATTTTGATTTGAGAGTTTTTACGTATTTTTGAAAAAGGTTTCGAAGTGTTTCGGTTCTGTTTTTCAAGATCTTTTTCGATAAATTTTAAATGTTCCTATTATCAATTAGAACAGGTTTTATATTTTACGCTGACATTTATTGCTTTAAATCTTCCTAGTGCTAAAACGGAAAATTTGACCTTTTGTTCCTCGGGGTCACAAAGAACAAAGTTTACATTTTTATTGAAAGGGTGATTACTTTCGACCATTTTCAGCTTATTTTCATGATACAAGAATGACTGCGCATTCACTTTCAGTGCAAATGAACTCATTTGACCTTTGACCCCGAATATCTCGAAAACGCCCCAACGGCGGACTGATTACCACTCGGCATCGTATTCTACGCAAAATTTGACTATAGAAAATTTGGGTCTGGTTTTAATTTTGTGCCCATTTGATGGACATCCCCGCATTGGGCCTCCATACTAAAATATATGGTATAAAATAGTCTTGTTTATCAGGGCACCCAACGAAAAATTTGACCCGAAATTCTTAAATACACAATTTTTCTACATTGCGCTTAAAGTAGCTAAGTCTCTAACTCAATGTCATCCAAAATCTTCGAGATTGAAAACACGATTTATTTGTCGGTTTAAATCAACATTGATGTTGTGATCTTACCGGGAAAAGATGGCCTTCTGATATCCAATATTTAAGACAAAATGAACATTTTAAAATTGGTACTCGAATCGTGTACCATTGCGTTTCAGCGCTATTTGTAATAAGGGGCTCAAAAAACGAGGCTAGGCATATTCCACAAGTCATGTCAAATGGTGACGCTATATTCTTATCTGGAGAGCAAGCCCAATAAATAATATTGGCGTAGGCTGGAATAACCAGACGCCAGAGATTGAAATTCGATGGAGAATACTGGCGTATTTCGCCAAACATAACTGATTAAAAATTACAGTAAAAACAGAAACGTTTGAATGTAAATCAATTTATATACATTCATATTACATTATTGTATGCGTTGCGACCCATTTGTGTCAATTTCTAGGTCCCAAATATTAGCGACTTAGCTCCTTTAAATTGCATGTTTAAGCAGAATATAATTTCTGAGACTCTACGAAAATTGGGACTGTTCCTTTAATCCAAATATAATAGTATACCATCGACGCATGCCTCGGCACTGTGATATTGCTGAGTGACGTGACCTGCTTAACGTACATATTTTAGTAGAAAAGGGTGGAGTTGTTGAAAGCCAGTAGGTAACGGACAGTACTATACATTTTTGTTGGTTTTTTCTTACTCAAACTTTCGTACATTGTGAAATAGTGTTATTAGAAAGAAAGATTGTTGACGAAATAGCTACCAGCTACAGTAAACTATAAAATGGTTGACGAAGGGTTGTAACAGTGTAATGTAAGCAACAAATCAGTAACTTTTAAACTGATGACGGCAGAGCGTATCGTTATTGTGTGTGGTATCAAATATCCGACAAAATATCGTTGTAGTGTATGGAATAGTATATCCGACAAAATATCGCTCTTGTGTATGGTATTTAATACCAGACAAAATATCGTACTTGTGTATGGTATAATATACCAGACAAACTGCTGCATTGCCTTGATTCTTTTACTAGCGTTTTTAACTAAATTAGGCTCACGTTGTATGGATTGTGGAGTAAATTACACTCACATTACATTGATTGTGGCGTAGATTACTTTCACTGCTATTTTGACTGCGCATTAAATTTATTTCAAACCGTGTATGGGTGCTCTAGGGGCTAATATATCTTGATTTCTAATCTAACGATTATGGTAGAGGTATCGGCTAAAGAGTCCATTCAATTAACTTGATATTTATGCGTAATATTTATCTCCATGAAGCGATTGTTTTCATCGGTTTTTAATGATCACCGCCCTTTGTAATTTTTTTTATCATTTTGTTTATTATCTTAATGACTTAAAGGTTGTATGTAATGTTTTTTTAAGGGGTAGACAGAGAGGCCTATAAGTGTGGATAATTGCTAAATAGATTATTTCCCTTGGTAACTGCCCTTTGATTTGCCATTTATGTATAGTGTGCGTGTTCATTGGACGATGGTGGCTTTTATGTTCATTGATATTCATTCTCGATTTCAGCGTTATTGCCATTGCTCACTTTGCCTGCTTGAGTTTGTTTTCGTGCCGGTAAAGAATTCTATCAAACTGTAACGATTTCTTAAAATCAATTATAGGCTTACTGCTAATGACTAGTTTTAGAATCTTGTAAATGCTCTCGTTACCTTTTAATAAAATAACAATATGAAAAACTTCATGGGCTGCCGGACGACATAACTACTGTGGGCATATGTTTCGTTTCATGGCAACCTGTATTTTATATTTCCAGACAAGTCTTCTCATTGGAAGACAAGAAATAAAGATGACTGGCACTAACCACAGGCCGTATTACGATTTCAGTGAAGAGTTAAATTTTACGCGGACGAGCCTAATTTTACTCATCTTTGTTACCATAGTTGTAATTCTGCGATGCGCATTTTTAACATCTGTTATAACATGTTGGACCCCGGCCGAGTTTTCAGATAATATGGCCTATACCCACCACACATGCTGGAGTCAAGACACTGTTATTGTTGTGAATGCAAGTTCAATTACCCTCCGTGAATCAGGAATAACTACTCGGGCATTTCTTAGATTTATTCCCATCCTTCTCACCTTTATGATGTTAGGATTCCAGATACCTCGTGCCTTTAAGATAATCACCGATATATTTTTAGAAACTCCGACCGGCTTAGTGCGAGGTGACATGTGTACTGATCCAAGAAAATACAGAGTCCAAGAACTGGATACAATTAAAGAAGCCGCAGATCGGAACCAAGTCATTCGTACAATGATATTTTTTTTGGTCAAAATTCTCGTGGGCCTCAACATCATCATTCAGATGTTTTTTGTCAAGCGGTATTTCCTAGATTCTCTAAGAAAGGACGAAGTGATTCCTGTGTTTATTTTTCCTAAAACAATCCGCTGTCACTTTTCGTTAAGACAAATGCAGAATGTTCGCGATTACACGTTGCAGTGCTCTATGCCCATCAATTATCTGTATGAACAATTTATATATATTTTCTGGTTTTGGATATTAGGCGTTGGCATTGTCAATGGTCTCGTGTTCATCACCCAGTTAGCTTCGCTTCTAATCCCACAGTTAGTCATATTTCGATTCCGTGGAATTATTGCTGAAAATAGATTTGAGTTAAAGAGGTTTTTGTGTCGACGATAAGTTATACGAATCGCCACCTATGATTAACCCTTCCCAAGGAGCATATAACTCGCCTAACGTATATAGAGATTCACCTTGGCGTTATTCCTATCAAGACAATGTGTGGTAACGATCCACATACTCAACCGTTATTAGTCAAGAATATGGGTAAAACTGAGTAAAACCGTTTGATTGTAGAGATTGGACATTTTAAATGGAATATTTAATATAGCGAAAATAAAGTAGTTCTAGTAAACAGCACCGGTCGAATTCTGGAGGTCTTGGTATGCTCGTAGATGACCGAGGGAGTTATTAAGTCACAGAATCTTATTCTTACAATAAAATGTTGCCTAGATATGAAATCATTTATATGAAATCCTTTATTCCAGCTAAGAGGTCAATGGGAACAAATAAGTTACTAAATGTTGCAAAAATTGGAACCATACACGTTTTATGGGGCTACAAATACGTTTTTATACGCCCACATTGAAATGTGGTCGTATATTGTCGTCGCCCCCGCCGTCCGTCCGACCGGCGTCCACAATTGCTTGTGGACGCTCTAGAGGCTAAAGTTAATATCCGATTGACTTGACATTTATACACAGTGTTTAAGGTCATGAGACGAAGAATCCTATTGTTTTTCAGCGATTTCCGATAATTACTGCCAGAGTTATGGCCCTTGATCACTTTGAAAAATCTTGTGGACGCTCTAAAGGCTACAGTTAATATCCGATTGACTTTAAATTTATACAAGGTCACGAGACGAAGGAACCTATTGATTTTCACTGATTTCCAGTAATTACTGCCAGAGTTATGGACCTTGATCACTTTGAAAAATCTTGTGGACGCTCTAGGGGCTAATGTTAATATCTGATTCCGATTGACTTTAAATTTATACACATTGTTTAAGGTCATGAGATGAAGAATCCTAATGATTTTCACCTATTTCCGAAAATTACTGCCAAAGTTATGGCCCTTGAACACTTTGATAAATCCTGTGGACACTCTAGAGGCTAAAGTTAATATCCGATTGACTTTAAATTTATACACATTGTTTAAGGTCATGAGACAAAGAATCCTGTTGAATTTCACCAATTTCCGATAATTACTGCCAGAGTTATGGTCCTTGATCACTTTGTAAATTACTGTGGACTTTCAAGTACATGTATATTGATTTTCAATAATTTTTTGGGTAACTTGAACAGCTAAATCCATGGTATTAAATGTTTTCTATACTAAACGTTAGCACGGGCCAAACAAATTCTAATGATTGTCTGATAATTACTTAATGAGTTGTTACTCTTAATCAGATTTTAGTGTATTATAAAATTTTTCATTACCAACAAAAGTAAAAATATACAACTCATGTTGACTGCCCGGGCGATTTAGCTGCTGCGGGCGTATGTTTAGTTGCCTGGCAATCTATCTTTGTAATACCTGAAGATATGCGTGCATTGATACCATATAGGAGAAAACTGGGTCAGCTAGGTTGACCCCCTGGGCTCCCGCTCTATTAATATACTGTGCAGTTTCTTTAATGGAACTAATCATCCATATTCCTTAAGCAATGGTCAGAGAAATCCCTCTCGGATTAGCTCTAATCAAACGAAACACTGCGAGGAGTATGCTAATCATCTTGTCTGGGATGTCTGTTGTTATGGTGCAGTCATTTCGCTGCGCTGGAGAAGATGTGCAGAAAGCGACATTCACCGATCATGGCAAACCGTGTATATGCTTCTACAAATACATTAGAATTTCTGCTCCGAAAGCTACTGATAGCTCCTCCCCCTTTTGGTATTTTGAAGGGTAACATAGCATAGACCTAAATTCGCACACTGATCCGCAGTGAATATTTGCTTGGACGAGACTCGTAATTCTCTGTGAAACAGATTGCTAAATTCGACTTAAACTTTAACTTAACTTTTTTTATTTGCATATTACGTCCATTAAGAACATTATACAAAACATACGCATACATCAATATACATGTATACAAAAATATATTTTACATGGAATAATATATTGGAATAACATGATATAATGAAATGAGAATATAATGAGATATATGCATGTACCATTGGTATGATACAATGAAAATGTAACAATGAAAGTATAACAATGAAATGAAAATATACTGAGCGCCATGGAAAACGCATCACTTTTTTTCCCAAATATTTTATTACTAGGTGGTTTTGTATGTATAATATTATGCAATACTATGAACTATTGTTTCACACAATGCTTCCAAACGCAAAAAATATCGGCCTGTGTGCACAAAAAAAAATTGCACGAGATGCACATGAAAAACCCAATATTCACGTGCAGCATTGTGTGGGAGCCCTTTAAAAGCATGTTTTCAACTTAATGTGCAGTACATGAACTGTGAAACGTCAATCTGTCGTAATTTGTTGTTGGACGTGTGGAGAAATCGAGCTAGAGATGCCGAGACTTACTGAAAATCAACGGAATGAAGCCATGGGAATGTCCAGGGCTGGCATGTCTACACGTGCTATTGCCAGACACTTCAATTGTCATCAGTCCACTATTGTAAGGTTGGTGGAACGTGTTCGAGTTACTGGATCAACACGTGACCGTCAACGTCCTGGTCCACAACGCGTTACAACCCAGGCTCAAGACCGCTACATCCGGGTCACTCATCTGCGTGACAGATTCCGCCCAGCGACTCGAACAGGTGCAGCAGTCGTCGGAAGACAAGGACCAGTAAGTGCCAACACCGTAAGACGTCGTCTAAGAGAAGTAGGACTCCGTGCACGACGACCTTATGTTGGAGCTATCCTCGGGGATCATCACCGTCAGCGGCGTTTCATATGGGCTCAAGGACACCAGACATGGAGAAGAGTAGACTGGCAAAGTGTGCTCTTCAGTGATGAGAGTCGCTTTCATCTTTATCACGCTGATGGCCGTCAACGTGTGTGGAGACGTCTTGGGGAACGTCTTGCAGACTGCTGCGTCTTCGAAACGAATCGATTCGGTGGGGGAAGTGTAATGGTGTGGGGAGGCTTCACATTTCATCACCGGACCGCCCTACACATTTGCAGGGGTCGCGTTAATGCTGTAGCCTACCGTGATGATGTCTTGCAACCAATTGTTGTTCCGATGTTTCGAGCGCACCCACAACTTCAGCACTTCCAACAGGATAATGCACGTCCGCATACCGCCCGTTTTAGTATGGACTACCTGGCTGCTAACAACATCAATGTCTTGGACTGGCCAGCCATGTCTCCGGACATGGCGCCGATAGAACATGTCTGGGATGAGATTGGAAGCCGTCTGTATCGGAAACCACAGATGCACACCATTGCTGCTTCAGAAGCTGCTCTTGTCCAAGAATGGAACAATTTGCCCCAGGCCTTCTTTCAAACATTGGTTAATCCCATGCGACGTCGCTGCACAGCGTGCGTAAGAGGCCGTGGAGGACACACGCGCTACTGACATCTGTGTCGTACTTTTGGTTTTGACCCCTCTGACTTTGTACCGTTGATTACAGATTAAACATCCATAAGTGTACAAATGTGTTGTTATTGATGTGTTCCCATTTGAATATTGTTCACAATAAGAAGCAAAATAAATAAGATATGTTTACAGGATCATTTTGTTATACGAAAAACTAAGTGATGCGGTTTCCATGGCGCTCAGTATATGAAGTATAACCTTGTACATACATGTATAATGATCAAATAGACTAGGTAGGTGCCCCCATTTCCTTAAAAGCATGATATGTACATTGCTACTGTTTTAGCAAGAAAATCTGGCGGATTAAAAAGAAGCTCAAAGGTTAATTGACAAGATTGTATTAAAGTAGGGTAGATATATTTTAAGCGCAAGTTTTCGTATCTGGGACCCTGGAACAGAAAATGGAATTCATCTTCTACGGTAGAAAGAGAACATTGGGTGCATAACCTTTGGTCAGTTGGAATATTCTTGTATCGCCCTCTCTCTGTTTCCAGTTTGTGTGAGCTAGAGTCGAAGCGATGAAAAGGCGGATTTAAAGTTTGTATTTTTAACCTGCAGAAGGTAACCAGCGGGGTGGTTTATTAAGTTTTTATACAGACCATACGTTCTCAGTTCGGTTCCTGATTTAGTTATTTCTGCAAAATGATGGTTGAATTTAGTTTGAAGTTTTAGTTTAGTTGCTGAGGGCGAGGGATTATGAGGGAGATCATAATATTCATATAATTTTGCTATGGATGCTGTCCAAGAATATTTAATGTTATTGTTTGCAATGAAGTTGCTATCGGTAATGAAGGCAGAACGTAAAAGAACACTTTTTATTGGAAAACTGTCTATACTAGAATTAGTAAGACGTTTATAATAGGAAATCATTCTTTGAAATAATATGTCAAGGTTTGCTGGGAAAATACCCAATTCTGCTACACAGCCAATGTTGAATCTTTTTGATGGTTGTGCTATTCTATATAAAAAATAGATCACAATAAGAAAACTGGTGTACAACGTCCCAACACATCGGAAAGTCCTACTTGTTGGTTATTCACGGTGTGAAATCAGTGGTCGTCTCACTATTGAAGCCTATAATCATGCCACAGCACGCACACCAAGCGAAAATCTATTCGAAGTAGGTAATTGAGAAATAAACACACCTCTGTACTAGACTTTTTTACACAAACCATTGTGTTAACGCGAAATACACGTATTCAAATGTGACCTAGAATGTAGAGACTACAACAACTTCAGAGGTGAAGTCGTATTGTCGCGTAAAAATGTCGTATTGTCGTTTTAAAATGTCGTGATGTCGGGTTATCTTGTCCTGATGTCGCCTTTCCAGAACAATTGTAGAAGCGATCATGCCCGTCTCAATATTAGGTTATGGAATTTTGCAGCGTTGTTCTCCCTGTCGATAGTGCATGACGAAGGACCGAGCAAGTGGGACAAAACCACAAGCTCCTGTATACACACTGGATCTTAAGGTCTGAGTCAAGTGGCGTGGTTACGATTTCCCGCTTGTACGTGACAAGGAGTAGAGCTGCCTGTCTAACCGCGTGGGTGTTCTCCGGGTCCTTCGGTTCCCCCACTCCTAAACACCCGAAATGACCTAGTTTGTGTCGAGTGGACGTCAAACCCAGTTTCTCCCTCCCTCCTCCGGTTTTCACCAAATTTCGGTAGCCGTAGTGACTCAGTGAGTAAGGAACTATCTAATTAACCAGATCTAGGGTTCAATCCCGTTGGCTGTTGAGAAAGTTTCCCAGAATTCTGCAGAGTGATTTGCACTTATCAGTGGTATAGGACGGACGATCTGGCGAGGATATTGTCTATACGTGTGCGTTTATGTAAAGAATCATTGACGACAACCCGACATTACGACAACCCGGCATTAAAAATGTCATAATGTCGCTTTAAAATGTGGTATTGTCGGGTTACAATTTCGTAATGTCGGTTTTTCGATCTGTCGGGCGGGTTGTCGTGATGTCGGGTTAAAATGTCGTGATTTCGTGATGTCAGGTTGTCGCTTTATGAAGGTCGACATCACGACATGATGCCAATCAGCTACCATACAATTCGGACATTGGTCAATTGCCAATGGTAATAAAATATATACAAAAATACACTTAACAATAAGAATAATATTATTTGTGATGTAAAATAGGCCATGGGACTTTAATATGTCAGAAATTGACATGGACACGTAACACTCTGTAATCAATATTATATTATCAGCAGTATGGAAGCGTATTTGGGTCACTACTTATTGACATAATATCGCAACACATCGAACTAAAATATGTCAACTTCATGAGTTATATTACAAAAAAATCGACTTAATAAGTCGACTCGACGCATTAAATTCACCTCTAAACGACAAAAACTATGTCGATATGTTTACATCATGCCAATAGTCGATTTGACTCTAAATCAACAAGTCATATTTTAATGCAATATATAGACTTAATAATGTCGCCGTTTTCAGTTATGTACCACGTGCTTAATTTCATTGCCCGAGATTGCTTATTCATGAAAGTGCAGCCAATGATGGGGTTTAACGTCCACTCGACACAAACTAGGTCATTTCGGGACTAACATATGGTTTAATTTTAGGGGTCTTTAGCAGTGGGAGGAAATCGGAGGACCCGGAGAAAACCTACTATGTTGGACAGACAACCCTACACCTTGTCACGTACAACCGGGGATTCGAAACCACGCCAGTTGACTCATTGCCCGAGATTGCTTATTCATGAAAGTGCAGCCAATGATGGGGTTTAACGTCCACTCGACACAAACTAGGTCATTTCGGGACTAACATATGGTTTAATTTTAGGGGTCTTTAGCAGTGGGAGGAAACCGGAGGACCCGAAGAAAACCCACTAGGTTGGACAGGCAACCCTACACTTTGTCACGTACAACCGGGGATTCGAAACCACGCCAGTTGACTCAATGACAGGCCTTGTGTCGAGTGGACGTTAAACCTCATCATTGGCTGCACTTTCATGAATAAGCAATCTCGGGCAATGAAATTAAGCACGTGGTACATAACTGAAAACGGCGACATTATTAAGTCTATATATTGCATTAAAATATGACTTGTTGATTTAGAGTCAAATCGACTATTGGCATGATGTAAACATATCGACATAGTTTTTGTCGTTTAGAGGTGAATTTAATGCGTCGAGTCGACTTATTAAGTCGATTTTCTGTAATATAACTCATGAAGTTGACATATTTTAGTTCGATGTGTTGCGATATTATCTCAATAAGTAGTGACCCAAATACGCTTCCATAATATTATATTATCAGCAGCCTTTCTTATTAGTTACATAGCAAACCAGCTTAGTTATAAGAGGGTACAATTATCCTACATAAGTACATGATTATTAATATACAAAGTTAGTTGTTTAATCGATATTATTTTACCGAATTATTTGTGTAGAGCGCAAAGGATTATTCGATAATCTAGTTTTGTGTTTTATTTCAGTGATTTGAAATGATATTTGTGCTATGCAGGTCGTTGGTTGTATGTGACACAGTCCTCATATTGCTGTAAAGGAGTTCAACAGTTTACTTGTGCATTGTTTTATTGTTTGGTGATAGTTCAATTAAAAAAGGATAACTCAAAGGTAAGCGACAAAAATTAAAAGATATTCATTAATATGACAACTGTGAAACTTCATTTTCTTCAGTATTAACATGTTATTGACATAGTGCTTCCTAAATGAATTAGTAGTGCAACCCCTGTTTCTTAAAGCAATTGATTATCATTATTATTGCATTTGACGAAGGACGGTTTTGTTGCACTTAGTATACATGTATCTAAATATCACGGAAACAGATTCGTATAAGCCTTTGAGTTGTTTTCGTATTCATATCAGTTGTTATACTATGCTCTATTCAACCTTAAAGAATAAACATTGCTTAAAGTTTCTGAGCGTGATTATAGCGCTATGGTTCAATATTATGAAAGTTGGGTCTTTAATAGGAATTTCAGCTCACAAATGGTTTGATTTTACGAAGTATTTACAAAGATTGACGAATTGAAAATTCCATCGATCTATGTTGCGCCCTATGTAACAGGTATGCCGCCATCTTTATATTTCTTGAACCAAATTGATGGACCTGAATACAAGCTAAGAGACTGCCTAGCGTTGGTATTTTGATTTTGATTTATTTGAATGTTAAATAATCAATCTCAGTACATAATTAACGTTTGATTAAACCGGGCGCGAAATAAGATAATTTCCAAAAAATGCAAATTATGCATCGTTACTTTAAACCATAATAATGTAGTTGGCATTAATTAGTCTATAACAAATAAAACAATATTTAGTTATTTTTGGTATGTATTTTCTACAAAGATTATTCTGTTTTGTAAACCTTTCTAAGACTAAGATTATTTTTTTTTTTTTTTTTAAAAAGAAGTTAACGCCTCGGTGATTGAAAATAACGACAACAATGAAACTCAATATCCAATTAAAATAATATGTCTGGTTCAAATAGTGTTTGAAATAGTGCCTCAATTTTTTATTTTACGTTAAATGCCCTTGTATTTGGATTTAAGCTCTTTGGACGTGGCTTGCTTCAAGGTTCGGTTATTTCACACATTCGCGAATGTTATGTGACAGTAACCTTCACAAACTTGTGTTAAATGTTGAAACAACACAAAACTTGTGTTAAATGTTGAAACAACACAAAACTTGTGTGAAAATCTACACATTATTTGTGTTGAAATTTCTGAAACTTGTTTGTGTTGAAATTTCTGAAACTTGTGTTGAAATTTCTGAAACTTGTTTGTGTTGAAATTTCTGAAACTTGTGTTGAAATTTCTGAAACTCGTGTGGTTTCGTACAAACTTGTGTATAACAAAAACTTGTGTTGTATTTTACCAATTTATATCCAGTATAGCAACCTTTCGAATGCAACCCCTTCCATTCGTTCTGTTTAAACTGTAATTATTGATAAATGACATAATAATTTTGTTTGTTAAATTATTATTTATTCAATAAATGATATGAAAAAATAAATTAATGCCTAATTAATACCAATACAGACATCTCGAAGGTTAATAAACAAAGTTAATTCCAATACTAATAAAATTGTGTTATACAATGAAAAAATACCCCCCCCCCCACTCCCAATTATTAAATAAAAAGTAGCTATTTAAATTGCAAAAATAAAGCACCGAGACATTTGGAATATTAATAAAATTGTGTTCAATAGTAACAATATCCCCCCACCCCTCAAAAAAAGCTTAAAAAGAACTGAGAATATAATATATATGTTCACAATATCCCTACCCCATGGTCCCAAAACATACATTTTAAATATATCTAAATTTAATATCAACCAAACCAAGCACTAAAGACATTAATAATGCACTAAATTGAAATACTTTTAAGAAAAAATAGTCCCTTTAACAGATTAGGAATTCAAAATTTTCTACAGTATATAAATGGGAACTAATAGATAAAGCACAGGCAAATAATTATAGATAGATAAAATAAATATAGCATAAAAATCAAACAAAATGGAGAAAATTAAAAATTTGTAAAACAAAAATTGATTAATTAATAAAACCTTTTTATATAAAAGAGGCATTAACATTCGAAATGTTCACTAAATGTTTAAAAATAAAGGTTGATTTCATCCTACAATAATACATTTTTATAATTATCGAATGTTACTATTAATTATTGATGATCCCTCTATATTATTTCAAGTTTTCAGGCCAAATCTTTAGTGTTTAGGATTACACTGCATTCTATATAATGAAACAATATTAGAGATGGTTTGGTATTTGACATTAAAAACAAAAATGTGATTAAAAAGGCAATATAACTTTTGGGTTTCCACAATAAGATCTGTAAAAGAATTTGATGACTTTATATTCAGAATTTAGAGTTGTTTTCTTTCTTTGGTATTAATATTCACTAAATAGATATAATTCTCCAAGGATGTTCAAGTGATTATTATAAATACACTTATCGACAAATGGGGTTTTGATGTGGATTTAACTTGGTACACCAGTCATGGGTATAGAGTTATTTAGGGGGCGGGGGAGTTGAAAAGAGCATAATTTAACAATATATTATATTATTTTGAGACTCATATGTATGACTACATGCGAATGCAAAAGGTGGGGGGGGGGTATTTTAGTCAGGTAGCATTATTGCTTACTCATGTACACCAAAAACACGTCATCTCGCCTAAACAGATGTTTTACGCCAAAACGCTTCAACTTGATTGATTGCCATGTTTTTGGTGTATATTTATATCTTTTCTTGGGTGCCGAATCGAACTACGGCTTTTAAAATGTTCCAAAATCGACGTAAATTGATTTTTTCAACGTTAGTTGGTATACAACGATGAGCACATGAGTGAGTAGACTGTGGGAAAGTTACGACAACTCATTTCCAACCGCCATTTTGGGTCCCAATTATGACGCCATAAAAGCTATGACGTCATGGCTTCATACAGGTTTACATACCAAAATTTGTTTTTTTCTTGCAGTATTAGACGTTGAGGGATAATATAACGTTTTACCCTAAAAAAAATGCAAAAGAAACCAATGCAGTTTGGTTCAGTGATAAATATATCAAACAAAATCATACCCAAAATCGGGGAATTTTCTGAGAATGATATCTCGTAATCAGTGTGTTTTACTATTTACTCGTTGGATTATAAATGATTTCTTTTTAAATTCCTCAAACACAGAGTGGTTATGAAAGCGAAATGTGCCGAAAAATCGAATTTGACAAACGTCAAATTAAAAAAAAGAAGTATTTGTTATATGGTGCCGGGCGTTTCTTTCATAATGGCCACCAAATTTGGTAATATTATTATTATTATTATTATTATAGCATATTTATAGCGCGCCCTTTCATAAAACATGTTCAGGGGCACTCTACAAAGTGACAATGTTATCATAAATAAACAACAAGATTATGGACATGTTAACAATTGTATACAGAGTCAGTTAAAAGCCTCATTAAATAAATGTGATTTAAGTTGTTTTTTAAAAGAATATAGAGATGTACAACATCTTAAACTAAATGGTAGATTATCCCATAAAACAGGTGCTTGATAACTAAAAGAGACTAGTTGAACAGTTTTGGGCTTTAAAAATAGTTTATCTGATGTACGTAATGTTCGACCATTATATCGTGGTTATGTACGCGAAATGTGCGGAAATCGAATTTGACAAACATCAATTAAAGAAATGTATTTTCCATGTGGTGCCGGGCATTTCTTTTAAAAGGGCTACCGAATTTGGTAATACATGTATAAGGCAATTTAACAAAAAAAACATAAATTTGGTAGACTAAAAGGGCATCTCTTAAGATACGTAAGATATGACTTTTGCAATGTCCTTTATATGGTTTTCGATGTCTCTGAATTTGAAGATAAATTTTGAAAATACAAAATAGCAGCAACACCAATTGGCGGATATTAAATTAATCGTCATTTTTCCTGTTGGATATTAGATAGTGTCTCTTAAGCATGATGTACACTGTAGTTCGATGTACCCTTTAGTTCAGATATAGTCTCCAAACCGTGTTTACACTGACTGTAGTTTGGGTGTAGTTCGTCAAATGAAGATGAATTTTACGATACAAAAAAATGAATATATTGTAAACGCGCTTTAAATATCTGGATGCGATAGACTTTGTGATAAAAAATTCAAGGTACATTATATCATTGGCAATAATAAGATCCAATTTTAGTTTTTAGTTACACACTGTTAACCACCAATAGATGTTTTAATGACAATAAATCATAAAATGTATTCAGCTCGACGTAAGACATAAATAGATACAGTTGGTTTAACTTGAATAGAAGTTTTAATTATCTATGCTGCATATATGCATATATCACCTTGATGTTCATATCGTCTTACGTATTTGTCAACATCAAGGTTAGTGCGACCCATTTGTGACAATTTCTAGTTCCCAAATATTAGCGATTTAGCTCCTTTAAAAGCGAATGCAAGTTAAATATGTTTAATCAGAGGCGGATTCAATGGGGGGCGCGAGGGGCGCCCCCCCCCCCTAATTTTCAACAGTGCCCTTTTTTACGGCTGAAAGTTCTTGAATGTGTCCAATTTAACAGCGAATTTATTATTATTATGTAACATATTAAGAACCTAACTACATTTTTGGGGCACCAACCACCACCGCCCCCAGTCAAAAATTTCCCCGTACGCCTATGGTTATGTGTAGGAATATTCAGTTCAATATACTCACGGTGTATGATTTTATTCATACTTCAATTTTAGTGAGTTACTTCTGCAACGTTTTTAGAAAAAATTGCTATTAATTTGGCCAGTACTGTAATAGCAAGTGTATAAATATTTTCTGTTCAGTCTGTACACAGTAACATATCTGAGAACCATATTATCATTTCTGCCCAAGGCTCCCTGTGATTTATAGTTAGCAGTGATACAAGGCAATTACCAATTTTCCGTGCTCTTGGCCTGAAGAAATAAAATAATAAAAGTCAAGTTTTTATTATTATGCAAGTGGAAAAATACAATTCTTCATGGTATGATTTGAATAAATACAACTGATTTGAAGTTGGAATTATTATTTGTCTAAGATGACTGGGCATTTACAAATTGAAATAG